CTGATACAACTTTTCTAACTTTGAGGCTGGGCCTGCTTTCCATTTTCCTGTCAGTTATGAGGTTGATGAATCAATCTCTCAAGTCTTCCTGCCGAATCACATGTCTGGCATGTGTCTTGGTGCTTAATAAGTGCCTTTGTTATTGTTGCAGTCTTGGCTTAGGTATAATGTTTAATGTGGAAACTTCCAACAATGCACAAAAGTAGAAGAAAATAGCTCATTAGCTCTCCAGGAGCCCAGCTTTAATTAACCACTCTTGTTTTATCTCAATCACCACCTACCAAGATTACTTTGAAACAAACCATATATAGTATGTTATTTATTTATAAAAATCACAATATATGTTTCTAAAGAATAAGGACTTTAAAAAATAACTACAAAATCAATACAAAGATGGAGAGATGGAGAGATTAAGAGTACTTGCTGCTCTTGGGAGGACCTGGCTTTGGTCCCCAGTGTACACATGGCTGCTCACAACCACCTGGAACTCAAGTTCCAGAGGATCTAATGTCCTCCCTGACAGCCATGGGTGCTGCTGCAGATAAGCAGTGCACAGACATGCATGCAGGCAAAACAAACACATAAAAGAAAATAAAAAAAACTAAAATGTTATCATCAGAGCTAATGATTCCTAAATATTACCAATTGATTCCTAAATATTACCAAATGTCCCGATAGGAAGTGGTGATGCAAGTCTTTAATTCCAGTACTTGGGAGGCAGAGGCAGGTGGATTGCTGAGTTCAAGAGCAGCCTGGTCTATGGAGTGAGTTCTGGAACAGTCAGCGCTACACAGAGAAACCCTGTCTTGAAAAAACAAAATCAAAACTAAAGAATGTCAATTTCTCTACTTGTCATGTAACTGGGTTGTTTTGTTGGAGTAGGAATAGAGTTTTTAAATTTTTTATTTTATGTGCATTGGTGTTTTGCTTGCATGTATGTATGTGTGAGGGTGTCATATCCTCTGGAACGGAGTTACAGACAGCTATGAGCTGCCACTTGGTTGCTGGGAATTGAACCTGAGTCCTCTGGAAGAACAATCAGTGTTCTTAACTGCTGAGCTGAGCTATCTCTCCATCCCTTGGATAGTGTTTGCTTTGGTTTGGCTCTTTTTTTTTTTTTTTTTTTTTTTTTTTTTTTTGTTTTGTTTTGTTTTTGAGGGGGCTTACAATGACATCTCACTCTGTAGTCCAGGCAAACTGGAACTTAAAGACAACTCTTTCATCTCAAGTCTAATTGCTGGAGATATGAGCCATCACATTTGGCTGATCTTTTAAAAAATTGTTTCGTTTGTATTTTAGTAGCTTATTTAAGCTTTCATATTAATTAAAAGTGTAATTAAGGCATGAGAAGGAATTTTGTCATGTGTGTTCACTGCAGTGTTGTTTAGAAGATAATCAGATGAGTAGAAGACTCCAAAAAGGACCCCACAATGGAACACAAGATTTAGACCATATCATAAATGAAAGGGTACTGCTAAAGCAGGTTCCAATTCTTCCTTCCACTTTTGCAATAAACCATGTACATATATCATATAACTATTCTGAAAGATAGGAAAACTAATGATTTTAATTCTCTCTTAATTTTTTAAAGATTTATTTATTTTATATAGTGTTCTGCCTGTATGCATATCTGGACAACAGAAGAGAACACCAGATCTCATTATAGATGATTGTGAGTCACCATGTAGTTGCTTGGAATTGACCTCTGGAAGAACAGCCAGTGTGCTCTTAACCTCTGAGCCATCGCTCCAATCCCCTGTCCTGAAGTTTTACAATGAAGTACTCACTTATTTCTACAGTGGCCATGTAAGGAAAAGTTACTAAACTAACATCGCTGTCTAGGCATGGAGGTACATGTCTTTAATCCCGGGACTTGGAAGGCAGAGGCAGGCAGATCTCTGTGAGGTCAAGGCCTATATAGCTGGTTCCAGGCCAGCCACTGTGTTATAGTGAAAGCCTGTCTTGAAGAAACAAGAAGCCAACAGAACTAAGATAGAAGTACATACACTTGGTTGTTTGGTAGATTTCCTATATGCAGCTAGTTATACCTGGCTGTGCTTTGTTCTGACCGTGAGTTTCCCTCCTGCTCTAAGAGAAGTCCTTGTGAAGCATGAAGAGGCATGAGTCATAAAAGGCTGTGTCTTCACCTGCTCATCTGGCACACGGGCACACAGCTGCACAAAGGGTCATTCATGGGGCTGCTATTCACCACCACCAAGGCTCCTGATCTCAGGCCCATTTCAAGTGCCATCTTGAGAAGATGAGAAGCACAAATAGTTCAGGACTCTTCCACTTAAAGGAAGGGAAACTGAGTCACAGAGAATCTGCCTTTTGCTCCCTTGCTGCCCTTCAGGTTGGTCTTAGGGTTTTAGGCTAGACAACTGAAACTGTTCTAACTGGGTGGTGATGTCTCAAATCTCTCCTGAGTTTCAACATCTCAGTGTGGGTGTGTGAGGGGCAGGGCCTTGTGTTTGGCCAAAGGGGTGCTTAATCCAGCCTTGTGTGACACACCACTCCACATTCTGTGGTACATGATCTGACCAGACTCGCTCAGGTTCTCACGCCCATTTAAGGCAGGCCTGGCTTGTGCTTGGCACTGTACGCTGTGGACTCTCCATTCTGTCATTGTCACCGTCTCTGACCCTTACCGCCAATAAAAACACACTCCAAGTGACTCTCCATGCGTGGCCCTTGATGCTCAGCTCATGCTTTTGCTTTCTGAGGTTCTTACTCCAAGGTCAAGTGGGAGCTGCTGTCCCCATGTCACTCCCTTTCCACCCCACCAGCCTTCTCATTTGTCATCTCCTCTGTGTTCTAACCCTTATCTGTACCCGGAACTTAGCGGGACACCATCTCTATGCACTGACAGGTGGTTCCAACATCTCCACAGACACCAAAACCAGAGGACGTTCAAGTACTTTACATAAAAACTGCATGGAGTTTACATGCAACTTAAGTGTACCCTCCATAAACTACTTCTACCATCTAAAGCAAGCTAAATGTTATACGAGGTTTAAGAAATAAAATTATGTACATGTTCACCACAAATACAATTAAATAAAATGTAGTTCAGGCTGGCTTCAGACTCACCATGTTATGGAAGATAATCATGAATTTTTGACCTTCCTCTGCCTCTACCTCCTAAGGACTAGATTATAAACATGCATTGTCACTCCTGGAGTGAGCTTTGTGCATTCAGGGCAAACACTAAAACAGTCTACAAACTAAGCAAAATCCTCATCACCGCAAATTCAATATGGGGGAAAAAAGTGAAATTTTATTTTAGTGTATGTGGATGGGTATTTTGCTTGCATGTATATCTGTTGCACCTGTTGTGCACAATAAAGCTTTTCCTGGGAAGACAAAATACATACATCTATTTAACCCACATAGGGAGTTCATGACAGACCAAAGTATGGATACCACCAAAGTCCAACATGGTGAACCACAGAGTTTTATTGCAGTTACTTATAGGAGCAGAAATGACTCAAAGACACCTGCATTACCAAGGCCCACCCCAGCAGAAGACCCACCAAAATGTGCAAGACAGCTTGCAAAGCCTGCAGGCAGCATAGCTGGAAAGGAGAGTGTCCTTTCCAGGTTCTTCTATTGGTCTAAACCTCTTCCAGAAGCTCAGCTGGTTTCTGCTTTTTCCAGGCAAATGTTCTTATCTCAGCAGCTTCTTGGTTTGTCTGTCTTCTTTGCAGCTCAGCTTCTCTCCTCTGCAAGGGGCTCTCAGCTTTTATTGTTTACTCTGGCAGTGAGGAGCCTAATGAATCTGGTTAGTTTCAGGGACTTCCTGGATTTATTTTGAGTTGTTTACCTGTTTAAGGAGCTTCCCTGTAGGATGGAATGTTTCAATCTTGGAGGAAACTGTTGTACAACAGCACTACGTTCGTACAGTGTCAGCAGAGACCAGAAGAGGGCATGGGATTCCCTTGGAAATGGAGTTACCGATGGTTGTGAGCTAGGGACAGAATTTAGGTTCTTTGCAAGTACTCTTTACTTCTGAACCATCTCCCCAGCCCCTAAAAACATCCTTTTGATTCTTTGTTGTATCAGCAGATGCAGAAGAACCAACTGGAGTCTTCTTATTCTCCACCTGTACTCTCTAAATGTCCCTCCTACCTCCCTTAGAAGAGAGTAGGCACTTTGCAGGGCAGACAGAGACTGCCAGCAACAATGAGAAAGGCAGCAACTCTGACTGGTTGACTGACACTTCTCAGGGGCCAAGCCCAGAGCTAAGTGATTTACATAATGATCTCATTCCACGATAACAATAAACCTGTATTATCATCCCACTTCACAAATGAAGAAACTGAAGCTCGGAGATAGAGTCACTTGTCAGAGGTCACCCAACTAGAAAACCACAGAGCTAAATTGTTTCTATTTCCATCAAACTACAAAACCTGTGCTTTTCATCATAGTATCAACTCTTTGGTCACTGTTGCTTCGATCAAATTTCCTTGAATGTTCTTTTGGGGACTTCCAGCCATCCTTAATTCTTGGTTATAGACAAGCCTGCTGACTGTCCTCTCTACACTCTCAGGGCCTTGGTGGCCTCCAGCCTGGAGGGTGGTTGGGATGAGAACACTCAAAGCTCTGTGTATCCTTCCACCCCCCCACATTCTTGCCTCTGTGCATCCCTCCCTGTTTTACAACGTCTCTCTCCCACTCCTTTTCTTGGGGACATTTAAGCAGCTAGAAGATTCTCCCTGGACACTCCAGAGTCTCTACGGGGCTGGTTTCTCTTGATAAGAGTTGGTAAGAAAATGGAGCCGTCCATCAGTGAAGGTCCCCTAGGAGATCACCTCGATTAAAGATAAGGTCCCTCCAAACCCAGCTCAGCCTCTTCTTTGGGACCCTTCCGCTACCCCAACCTCCTGAGCCCTTGCGTTAAGCTCCACCCCTGTCCCAGCACCTTAAAGTTCGGGGGCTGCATTTAAACCCTAGATTTCCAAGTAGGGGGTGTGTTGGACTGACTTCGGGAGGCATCTTTTGTCCTGGAAGAATGGGGGGAATGTGGCAGAAGCCACAGCTGCTGCTTCCAAGGACATCTGTATAGCTCCCCGGGGACCCTCTGCCCTTTCCCCCTCCCACAAGCCTGGGCGAGCAGGGACCAAGCTTGCTTGTTATCACCTGACGCTGAGCAGCCTCTGATCCCATTGGTGGAGCCAGATTCGGTCTGGCTCTCCCGTTCCTTCTCGATTTCTCTGCCTCTCTCTCCTCCACGCTGCTTTGATTTTGCTCTTGCCTCTCTCTTCTTGTGCACTCGCTCGCTGGGCTGCGAGCAACATCGTCTTCTTGCCGGGAGCAGTAGCGGTAGCTGCAGAGTCAAACAGGAGTGGCTGCCTGTGGGGCATGGAAGCAGCCTCCCCGGTGGTAGCCCAGACAGAAACAAGCGAGCCCCGCTGCCTGTGACCTAGGCGTCAGGGTGCTGTCCCCTGCCTGGGGAACTCATCATCCACAGAGAGGTCTCTCCTTTCCTTCTCTTCCAAGTCTCCCTCTGCAGGGCCGGCTGAAACCAGGTAAGTGCGCGACTTCCTCCAAACCATCCTGCCCATCCAGAAAGGTTGAGAGCTGTGGCCACCAGGGTCCCACAACTGCCCTGCCTGTCCACCTGGGTTGCCAAGCCTGGCGACCTTGTCCCCTTTCCCCTAAGTCCTTGGCAAAGAGCTTAACAGCTGGATCTGGTCTCCGGGGCAACACAGTTAGTTACCCCGTGACCATTCTGCGCAGTCGGCTATGCCAAAAGGTTCAGCTGGGTGGGGGAGCTTTCCCTATGGCATGCCGGTGGCTTTTTGAAATGGGCTTGAGGAAGGGACCCCAATGTGTACAACGTATCTGCATGGTCGGGAGGAGGATGAAGGATAGCTTGCGTAGACAGGGCTGTCTTCACGCAGTTAGGTTCCTTTGGGGTTTTTGACAGGCTTATGGCATGTTTCAGAACATTTTTACGCGTGAGGTACATGTGTGCGGGGGCAGTGTCTATCTGAGTAGCCTGTGGGCACATGTGGGCAGGGGCCCCAAGAGGCAGTATTTTTAGGGGGTGGACATGTCACTTGTCATGTGAGTGGGAGTACATGCTGAGGGAGTACTGTAGCAACCAGGCTGTTTCTATGTGAAGAGGGGCAACTTCGGGACAAGACAAGGTGGGTAGGTGGGAAATGTGGGCACAAACCTCTGTTTGTGGGCAAACTTGAGTAGGTGTGCAAACCTGTTGGCCCGTGAAGAAGCAGGCTGACCAATGTGGCCAAAGGCAAACATGTTTACAAAGTCTGTGTCTTGGAACCTACAAAGGCTCCATGGAGAATACCAGAATCCAGGCAAGGATTGACGTGTGCTCAAATGTACATGTGTGCCCAGGCAGCCATGTGGGTTGCTTGTCTTCTTGGGGGAGGCAGCATGTATATGTGTTGGTGTCTGTGGCTTCCTCTTTTCCCATATTATGACTTGTGATTATGAGGGGCACATGCATGTGGGTATGCGTGAGCCTATGGACATGAACATGTGTACATTGGAATAAAGGCGACAGCTTTCTAAGGGGAAATACTGGGACATTCTTAGAATGTGCAGTGTGGAGGAGGGTACATCCATGCGTAGGTGAGTGTGGAGGAATGAGGATGTCTAAGGAGGCGTGTGCTGAGGTATGTGGGTACCCCTTGCCCATGTGTATGTGCACGCTTGCCCGCCTGCGTGGGGGTGTGTACATGCTTGCTTAGGGTGGATTCACATGGGAGTGTGGGTGTTTCTCGGGTGTTGCCTCAACTTGTCCCTCACAGGCTGCCCTTCCCTAAGCATCTGGGTGTATAGAAGCTGGATTGACAGCCACCCTTCGTCCATGCTGGCTCACTGCCCTTGCAAGATCGGTTGTTCCCACTCTCCCAGACCTTAGGCTAGGGTGGGGAGCAGCTCTCCCAGAAAAGGAGAGAAGAAGGGATGAGCAAGCACCTGGCTTGGAATCTCCACCCACCACCAAAGCTGCCCTTGCCTCTAGGAAGACTCTAAAGTGAGGAAGGGACAAGGCAGGGACAGGTGTCTGCTTAGGGCAGGTGTAGGCTGGATCCCACGTGGGTGGGAGCCACTCAAGTCCTCAGGTGGGAGTATGTGTTCATGTTTGTGGGTACAGAAAGCTCCCTCAGGAGCTCCTTGTCAGTATCCATGGCGTTGCTAACCTCTTGCTGCTTCCCAAAATTGTGTACAGAAATATTGTTGTAGGATTGTTTCCAGATGCCCACCCGGTCCCATTTTGTCTCATTTCGGGGGAGACCTGGTAGCGTTCCCATGTTTAGACCATAGATTTCCCATGCATGGAGCCAGGGGCATCTGGCAGCAGGGAGGGAAGCTCAGAAAACACTGGATATGAGGAACACCTGGGCTGGTAAGGCCATCAGCCATGGCCTAACTCCTCTGTGTACCTGCCTTCCAGGCAATCCACAGGTTAAGTTAGTGGTGCCAGGCTCTGGAGCAGGCTTAATTGACAGGGAAATGTGGGTTGGATTTTCTGGGAGCTATAAATAAAAGTACCTGATTTTGCAGGCACAAGGTGCCCTCACCCTAGCTCCTGGGCAAGAGATGGAGAAGAAAGATGAGAGCAGAGAAGGAGGCAATGGGTGATGGGCTGGGTGATGGGCTGCAGAAGAGAAGCCAGGGAAGGCCCTGAGCGAGGCCACCAACAGCTCTGTGTCTCCCCCAAGTTCCCCACTCCTGGGAGAGCCAGGCTATAAACAACTCCAGCTGATGCTACCACAGTCAAGAGAAATAATGGTGTAGCCTTTTCATGCCCAAAGGGCACGACTGAGTAGAACTGAAGGAATGGGAGTAGGAGGCAAGGAAAAATTCAATCACTTGAAAAACACTGATAGGAAGAGAAAAGCAAACAGTAGGAACACAACCATATAGCATGTACACACTACACATGCACACACGCAAACTTAGTGCATAATAAAGAACTCGGCCTCCAGAGTGTAAGTAATTTGCTGGTTGTGAGAAGATGTCAGCATCCCCAACTTTGGCTACCTGTCTGTAAAATAAAACAAGGAGAAAAACCTATACATGCCCCAGACTTGTGTGAAATGTTATTAGTTTATGTTGTCAATGTGGAAAGTAATTGTGTAAGTCGGGCGCAGTGGTGCACATCTTTAATCCTAGCACTCAGAGGCAGAGGCAGGTCACTCTCTGAGTTGGAGGCCAGCCTGACCTACAGATCAAAGTCTCAGGACAGTCAGGGCTACACAGAGATCCTCTCCCTCAAAAAGACCGAAAGTAATTCTTTAAAAGAGCAAAGCAAGCACACATTTGTGATCTCAGTGCTTGGGTGGCTGAGGCAGGAGAGTGAGCGCGAAGCCTGGGCTGCACAGCAAGATTCTGTCTCAGAAAAAGGAGCGAGAAAGAAATAAAGGAAAGGAAAAAGAAAGAAAGAATGAAATAAAGGAAAAATCAAGTGAGCCTGTGAAAATAGAAACTGCACGGACCAAAAAGAGCTTAAAGCAGGCTGTGGCCCATGCCACCCCCCCCCCACCACCACAGAGGTATCCACAGCATTGGTCCCTGGGGCCCTCCCCAGGGCCCCTTGCTGCTCAGAGGCAGAATGAGGCCGGAGCTCCAGGGTCTTGGCACCTGTGGACTCTGGCTACCCCTGACCTGCCACCTGCCTCAATCCTCAGGCATCAGCCCCTCAGCAGGTGCTTCCTGTGTACCTCCTCCTCCTGGTCCCCCCTCCCACCCTTTCTCTTTTCACGCCTGCTGGCGAAGGGCCCCTCCCTCCTCAGCTCCATCTGCTGCGAATCTGTCCCTGCCCAGTGTTTCAGTATTCCCACTGCCTCTGCCACCTGTCAGGTGCAGTCAGCCCTGTGGACCCTCTAAGGGGAGCCAAGAGCCCCCTCCAGAGCGTACCCCATCTCACCTTGGGTCCCTCCTATCCGTCTAGACCCCTTGCAGTCTTTTCTATCACATTTACGAGGCAGGGGCATGGTGGGAGCAGCACATTTCCAGAAAGCTCTGTGATGGGAGGGACATGCTAATCTTTCCTCTGGCTCTCAGTCCCCACAGGAGCCAAACCATAGGGGAACATGGAACTGCTGTCCACCCCCCACAGCATCGAGATCAACAATATCACTTGTGACTCTTTCCGTATCTCCTGGGCCATGGAAGACAGTGACCTGGAGAGGGTCACCCATTATTTCATTGACCTCAACAAGAAGGAAAACAAGAATTCCAACAAGTTCAAGCACCGGGTGAGTAAAGGATATCCTGGTATTTCTTCCCACCCCTGTTCTACATGGAAGCAGATTGATGGGCCAAAATCCATAATCTTCTCACGGGGTCGCCTTGCCAAAGTGACCTGACCTTAGCTTCTTCCTTGGTAAAAGTGGAATGACCACACCACCCCTGTAGAGCTGTTGAAAAAATTCCGCGAGAGATGTTTTCGTGCTGTTTGGCCCCATGCCTAGCACAACCCCAGTGCTGCTGTTCATCGTGGCTAGAACTTCAGACGGGAGCAGAGCCCTGAGTGTGTGGGCTGGGACCCAAGACCTCGCATGTCCAGGTCATGTTCCAAACCCCAATAAGGCCCAGGACTCAGGGGTCATACTTGTGGTTGGGTGGGCAACATAGGCCCATTTTAGCTGGGTATGTGATACTGTACACCATCCTAGGTATCCTCTGCTTCTTCCCTACCCGCTAGACTGTTTCCGCGGTGAAGAAAGAGATGTAGGGGGGCTCTCTTCAGTATGCCTTTCCCCCAGGTTAAAAGCCAACATAGGAGCAGGTGGGAGGGAACCTCTCAGCTTCTCCAGCTGCATGCATAGCAGGAGAGAGTTCAGTGAAGGAGCCGACTCCCAGGGTGACAGCCTTGGTGTGGGCGCTCATGCTCTCTCTCTCTCTCTCTTTCTCTCTTTCTCTTTCTCTCCCTTCCTCCTTCCCTCCCTCTCTTTCTCTGGATCTGGCTCCCCAGATCTGGGTGTCTTTTGGCAGGCCAGTTGCCACGGTGACGTGAATGTTCCACACCGCCCCCTTGGCCCTCCCCCCAAAGAATAAGGCATATTTTTCTCTTCCTCCCTGGCTTCTCAGCATTTGCCGTTGCCGTGGAGACAGCACTGCAGTGTGCAGATTTCTCAAAGTCTCCCTCAGAAATGAAGGTCTTGCCACCTTCAACTTTGGGGCCCTCCTCCCTAGTGGCCTTTCCCATCAGTTCTCAGGAGAATGGGGTACCGTGGGGCTTGACGGTGATAGCCTCAAGCCACTGCTTGATTCTTCAGTGAAAGGGTGGCTTGGCCACAGAACTGCAGAGTCTCTGAAGCTCTAGTCCTCCTTGGGAGGAAGAGAGACCCTTTGGGGGAGTAGGGAATTCTGGAGTAATGCCAAGATGGGGTGTGACTCCAAGACTGATGCTTGGTTTTCCATCTGTACACCACTTCTCAGGATGTCCCCACCAAGCTCGTGGCCAAGGCAGTGCCTCTGCCTATGACAGTGAGAGGCCACTGGTTCCTGAGTCCCCGTACAGAATACAGTGTGGCTGTGCAGACAGCGGTGAAACAGAGCGATGGGGAGTACCTGGTGTCGGGCTGGAGTGAGACTGTGGAGTTCTGCACTGGAGGTGAGACCCTGATGTTGTAATAACACCCTGCCTGCAGAACACATCTGGCTTGGGTGAGCCATGGGAGGCTCTTCATCTTAGCCCAGCGTACTCAAACCACCTGCTGCACTCTGGGCGCTATGTTTAGGCCAGAGGGATGACACAGAGTCTGCCTAGACTCTACACATTGGCAATAACACCTGCATGAAGGGATGGAGTACTTTTTTTTCCAGGGGAAAAATATATGCATATATACATACATATTTTTTAAGTTTCTTTCTTTCTTTTTTTTTTTTTTTTTTTTTTTTTTGTTTTGTTTTTTTAGGCAGGGTTTCCCTGTATTGTTTTGGAGCTGTCCTGGAACTTGCTTTGTAGACCAGGCTGGCCTTGAACTCACAGAGATCTGCCTGCCTCTGCCTCCCCAGTGCTGTGATTAAAGGCATGCACCACCAATGCCCAGCCTTTATTTTTATTTATATGTACATGTGTGTCTGTGTGTGCACACATATTGAGTGCTCAGGGAGAAGAGAGTATTGGATCCCCTGGAACTAGAGTTACAGGTGGTTGTGAGCCACCCCACATTGATGCTGAGAAGTAGATTTCAGTCCCCTGCAAGAGCAATAAGTGCTCTTAACTGCTAAGCCATCTCTTCAGCCCCAAGAATATATTTGTCATCGTGGTAAATAGATGTAGCATAAAACTGACCATAGGAACCATACCTAAGAAGTGTTAAGTGGTTTTATTTTGTTATTATGCAACTGATCTTCAGAACTTCTCCATCTTGCAAAGCCAGAACACTATACCCTCATGGCCCCCACTTCCCGTTTTTTTGTTTGTTTTGTTTTGTTTCTCCTCAGGGCCATGCTTACCTCTATTCTGTCTTTATCTTTGACTATGCAAGGTGGCTTGTGTGAGTGAGATCAAGTATTTGTCCTTCGGTGACTGGGTTATTTCCTTTATCAGATAATCAGTAAGATGCACAGGTACTATATCATTTACCAGAATTTTCTTCCCAGGTAAGGTTGGGCAGTATTCCACTGTATTGGCTAGATCATATTTTGTTCATCAATGACCCGTGGTCATTTGGTAGCACAGTAACATTTGGTTTGTCTCAAGTATCTCCTTAGCCTGGAAAAATGGTTCCCGTCTAATGGTCTCAGAAGGGTCTCTTAGACAGAGCCAAACATCACTTTGTGTATGCTTGTCAACAATTGCCAAGGAACTGCCCCAAAATATTCTATCCCTTTGGTGTCCATGTGAGATCTGCTCCAGATTGCTCTCTGTCACAAGGGAAGGGGCAGAGAACATTCTCTGCCCTGGGGCCTCCAAGGCTGCTGACTCCATCCTCTGCCAAAATCTGTGCCCCTGGTCTCCTTGAATTGCCATAACTGTACTAGAGAGGCACTCCTGCTCCTTATAGGAATGGTGTCTTTGTTTGCCCCCCCTCCCCAAACAGCATATGCAGTGAGTGTTTAAATTGAGGGTCTGGAAATGCTGTAATCGGGTCTACCCTGCTCTTCCCAGAGACCAAGAACACAGAAATGCAGTGGCTACAGTAAGCGAAGGGTGCTTACCTCTAATTTGTTCCAATGCACTGTGTAGACTGACAACTCTGCCTAGGTTCCAAGACCCCTGGTCTAGTCTTGGGCATTTTCCTGCATTGGCCTTTTTATTTTTCCCAAACAGAGGCTCAAGTAGATAGCCAGTGCCTTAGCCTCTCTTCTACTGAACCCTGATCTGAGGACCAGGCTCTGCTCTTTGATGCATCAGTAGCCCCCACAGTTACAGTTAGCCACCGCCACACTAGCCGTGCGGCAGGCTCTCTCCTGGGTTTGAGGAGCCCTCCGGAAGGACCATATATTTTCCCCTCTTTATTTCTCCTGTTGGCCCTCTTTTCACTGGGATGACAGTCTTGGCGCTCCTAATGTGATAACAGGCATTCCTCTGTCCTGTTTGGACTCAAAGAGCCCTGAGCCTCTGGCAATGGTGACACAGAAGTGAGAACAGGTGACAAGCACCTCGTTGGTGTCCCCGCCAAGGCCAGCTGGCCTGTCCCATCTGAGTCCAGGCTATTGCGGAAGCTTCCTCGTTGGCCCAGAGGACGAGGTTGCCCGCAGGCTTGGTGGGTGGTGTGAAGAGGAAGAGGCGATCCTGCAGGGGGCCTGCTGCTCACCTCACCCTCCCTGCACTCTTGCAGATTATGCCAAGGAGCACCTTGCCCAGCTGCAGGAGAAGGCTGAGCAGATCGCTGGCCGCATGCTCCGCTTCTCTGTGTTCTACCGCAACCATCACAAGGAGTATTTCCAGCATGCCAGGTAGGCCAAGACAGACCATACCAAAGCAGAAGTATAATTGCAAGCTTAGGGCCAGCCTAGGCTACATAGCAAGACCCGATCTCAAAAGAAAATAAAAAGTGACTACTACTTTGAGGTTGGGGCTAAGGAGCGATCAAGGACATTGAAGTAGGGCTTCCTGGCAGAGGAGGCTGCTGGCAAGGTCAGGTAATAAGTTCTGGGTATGAACTCTGTTTTTTTACTGGGGTCTATCGTGTACATCAGCTACCTCTCCATTTCAGGGCCCAGGAGCACAGGGGAGGTGAGAAGGAGAAGGCAAAATGAAAGACTCCTGAGCATGGCAAACTCTGGGGCAATCTCAGCTGACTAGCTTTCAAGTTGAGTGCTAAGGAGTTTAGGGGCTCCAGAGAAGCATTTTGGGGAAATCTGATCAGGGTTCTGATCAGGGACAGGCAGGAAGCCAAAGGGTAGGGCTTGGGGGGTCCCACCCACGTGGTCCAACCAGAGTAGCCTTACTTGTCAGTGGCTCACATGTACATTTGCTTTCTTTCGAGGAGAGAGGGGGAGCAGGGGAGAGAACGAGAGCTAGACAGACAGACCAGATCTAGCACTTCAGCCTACTGATGTTGAGCCCAAGGCACCAAGGGCTGGCAAGTCACTTGTCTCTCAGGACAGCCAGGATGAGGCAAGAGTGAGGCTGGACCACGGCTTGTCCCCCCTCCCCCATGCCTGCTGACACTGCTTCTAGTCCACGTCCTTCCAAGCTAGGTCAGGGCAATCTGCCACGTTACTGTCTTTATCATTACTGGCAGCTGTGGTGGGCGTTCCGCCTTGCCCTAAGAAAACAGTAAAGAACTGGAGTGTCGGCTATTGCTGTTAAAGAAGAGGCAACAGTCCTCTTTAGGTTCCTTTTTCGGGATGAAAGGGAGACAAGGGGTACCCACCTGTGCCGGGCTCCTTATTAGGGGCCAGGACACACAGGCTGAGGCAGAGGTTACTCATCCTCAGAGTCTGGTGAGGGAGGCAGCATGAAAGGACTGGATGTCTGTGACTAGAGTGTGGGGGTGCAGGCTAATAGGAATGCTAGGGTTGGGCTGCTTCTTTCTCTTCTCATCTACACACTGGCACCAGGCTCCAGCAGAGCTAACCCATTGCATTTCCCCTTCTCTTTGGCACTCCCTCCCGGTGGGCAGAACCCACTGCGGGAATGTGCTGCAGCCTTACCTGAAGGACAACAGTGGCAGCCACGGCTCCCCCACCAGTGGCATGCTGCATGGTGTCTTCTTCAGCTGCAACACGGAGTTCAACACAGGCCAGCCCCCACAAGACTCCCCGTATGGCCGCTGGCGCTTCCAGATACCTGCCCAGCGCCTCTTCAACCCCAGCACCAATCTCTACTTTGCGGACTTCTACTGTATGTACACAGCCTACCACTATGCCATCCTGGTGCTGGCACCCAAGGGCTCCCTGGGGGACCGCTTCTGCCGTGATCGCCTGCCCCTCCTGGACATTGCCTGCAACAAGTTCCTGACCTGCAGTGTGGAGGATGGGGAGCTGATCTTCCGCCATGCTCAGGACCTCATCCTGGAGATCATCTACACGGAGCCCGTCGACCTGTCCCTGGGCACGCTGGGAGAGATCAGCGGGCACCAGCTCATGAGCCTGTCCACTGCCGATGCCAAGAAAGATCCCAGCTGCAAGACCTGCAACATCAGTGTGGGCCGCTAGGGACTCCTGGGGAGCTGGAGGCCTGGGGAGAGATGGCAGGAGGGCGGGGGATGTGTGGCTTAGGGATGGGGAGCTGGCTTTCTCTCCTCCTGCTCCCTCCACTCTGTCCATCCGCCCCTCTCCCAGCCTATGTTGGAGACAACAGAAAGTGGTCCTCTTAGTTAGCATGGCCCATTTCAGGCCTTGGTGGACTTGGGGTGGGGGTGTTCTCAGCAGGAGATAACTTCCTTTTCTGTTTCCCTTTTCTGTTTTTGAGCCTAAAACAGGCCTTCATCTCCCAGAGTCCTCCCTGCCTCCTGGCGGCCTCCATGTAGATGCAGAAAGTTGTGGGGCACCTCCTTCTTAGCCCCACCCACCCCACTCAGGGCCACCCCAGACAGCCCCCTCCCCACTCAGCTGGGCCCCAAGGTCTTTGACTCCTCCAGGCCAGGACCCTCCCTCTATAAATAAGCTCCTGCATTGCTGTCTCACCCTGGCTGCTCCCCCACCCCACCCCATCGACCCCATCCCGCAGAGCTCTCTTCCCGCATGGGAGAGCTATCCATCCTTTCTGTCCCTGTCACTGTCCCACTTGGGATACCCTCCCACTCTCCAGAAAAATACCCTCTCTCATTTCCTAGTTTGGAGGGCTCTGGGCTCTTGAGATTTTACTTTTCTCCTGTCTGGGGATGACATATTCCTTGGCAACCCTTCTCCCTTGCTCAGAGAACACCAGGGCCTGCAAAAGACAAACAGCTGCTGGGGTCGAGGAGGGGGAAGGAGACCCCTGAGTCCTAGTCCTCAGCCAGAAGTGGGCCACCTTACTTCTTCGTGGGCCTGACAGACTAGAGAACTGAGTGTGACCCACAGAGCCCTGGCACCCCGCCCGGCTGCGCATTCTGCTCGCTCACTCGCCCGCTCTGCCTTCAAGTCTTCAAGTCGTGACTATTCTGTGCTGTGTGTGAGCCAGACGGTGGGATCTCCACCACATCACCTCTTGCTCCCAACATCAGTCCTCTCTGGGCTGCTCCCCGCTGGAGTTCCTGATGCATTCCCTCACAGCTCCCCATGTTTCCACCTTGTTCCTCCGTTGTCTGGGTCAGGAGGGTGGTGAGAGGGGACTTCCCAAGACGAGAGAAGCAGGTAGAGAGGCAAAGTGGAGGGAGGGAAAATCATAGTAGCATTTCCAGAGGTAGCATTTCAGCATAGTAGCATTTCAGAGATGCTGGATTTCTGTGAAGGACAGAGGAGCTGGCAGGCCCACAGGGCCATATCTCTGGGAGACAGATGAATGGCTGATTACCAGAGTCAGTGCTGCTCGACGGTCAAGTACTTCACTGGGATGGGCCAGGAGGTCTGGGATCCTGGGGAATGTGTGCAGAAGAGGATCTGACCCCCGAGCTGCCTCCCCTCTGCTGACAGCATTGCTGTGGGCATGGCCTGCTGCCTGGTCCTGTCTCTGGGTGGGGCACACCCTCCTGTGCTGTGCTTGCCATGTGCATCAATAAACCACCGTGGCCCAAGGGCTCTGTCTGTCCTGGTCCGTTTAGGCAGTTACAATGAAATGTTGCAGACTTACAAACAGCAGGACCTTCTCTCTCACTGTTCTAGAAACTTAAGACTCAATGTCTGGCTGGAGAGGGCCTGCTTTCTGATGCACAAACAGCCATCTCTGCCTTCTTCCTGTGCACCCCACACCCCTGCCATGATGGAAAGGGTGAATAAGTTTCCCTAGCTTTTACATTTTTTTTTTTTTTAATGTGTATGTCAGTACACCATGTGCCTGCTGGGTACCTGGCCAAAAGAAGGCACTGAAGGCTGTGAGTCATCATGTAGGTGCTGGGACTCAAACCTGGAGCACTCTGTAAGAGTAGCCAGTGCTTTTAACAGCTGAGCCATATCTTCAGCAGGCCCCCTTTTCAAAAGTTAGGGTTCTAGTCCAGTCTATCCTCCAACTCCCTATGGGAGCTGAACATTAAGGGATGCTCCTGTTTCTGCCTCCAGAGTGCCGGGGTTACAGACATGTACTGCCGTGCCTGGTTTATGAGGAGCTGGAGACCAAATGCAGAGCTTTTTGCGTGCTAGACAAGCACTCTGCTGAACCACAGCTCAGTGCACCTCAAGCCTCCTTCACAAGGGCACTGATTCATTCATAAGGCTCCCTCCTTATGAAGGGCAATGCCTCCTGAACCCAACTCTGTGGGGGTTGAATTTCGATAAGAACTGTGGGATTGGGGCATTTGCAGGGCAATCAGGTCAATATGGTAGTGCCTCTCTTTGAGATGGAGGAAAGATGGACAGAGGGGTTGAGTTGCTCTTTCCGCCAGGGAGCCACCTGAAGCCACCTGGAACTGCCCCACTAGTGACGGCAAATCCTACAGTGAGTGGCAGGGCTCAGAAGACAGAGGCACAGCTTCACCCGTGGAAACGACTCCAGAGGACATCTGGTCTCACCCTGTGCTTCCCAGATGTGGCGCTGGGGTATCTAGGGAGGCCCCTTTGAAATGTGTGCCTAAAACCCCTGGACCACTGATGGAGTCCTCCCTACAGCCACAGCCTGTCATGGCTCAGACCCAGGTGCCACTGGATTCCCTCTCCCAAGAGCCCCGTATCCCCTCCTCCCTGGCAGGACTCCTTGGCTGCAGATCTCTGAGTCACCTCTGCGCCTATTATTATAGGCTTATTAAAATGGTTCTCAGCTGCGGTAGAAATGTTCCAGAACTGTCACAGGCACCTTACCAACACTGCCTGAGTCAGGGCCAGGTTTACATGTGTCATGGGGCCTGGCCGCTTTGGGATAAAGAAAAACTGAAGGGCATTTCACCACCACCGACCGAGAACCCCGTGCCCCGTGTATAGGCACCGGGTTGGTATACACAGCAGCTAGGTTGGTCTATACTGCATGGTGTTCCTACCTCACATATGGGAAACTGAGGTACAAAGAAATTTAGAGGCTTGCACATGTCTATGGCAATTCAGAAACAGGAATATTCCATCTGGAGCCCCCTGTGACCGCCTCCTTCAGAGAATGTCAGTTTATGTGTGGGGCAGTTAAGACACAGGCAGGGCTCATCTCCCACTCAGTGGCCATTCCTACTGCTCTTCCAGCTCACCGACCACGTGCCTCGTTTCAGAATGACGCCAGGGGGGGCTGGAGAGTCACAAATGTCACAGAGGCTTATTTTAAAGAAATGGGTAGCAGGGCAGGGTTGATGGATGGGGAGTGACTCTTGCCTCTGGGCAGTGTGGATTTTCAGAGTCCTGAAGAAGGATGGGCCTCATCTTTCCTTTTGAAAGTCCTTCAGGGTCTCTTGGAAAGAGGGACTGGCTCTCAGAGTCCTCATACTGGGGGACAAGGGATGGCCACTCCCAGCAGTGGACTGGAAGTACCCAGCAGAGAAAATTGTCAGAGCACCCACTGGCTGTGCTGGGATTGTTTCTGACCCAGAAGGAGATGAGTAGACACATGCACACCATCCACACAGGAATACATAACCCTTCCCTTGGCCTGGCTTTGTAGGAAGCAAACCAGGCCCAAGGTGGATTGTAGCTCAAGGACTTGAGTTTGCCTCCAGTGTTGACTGTAAAGGGAAACAAAGCCTAGGCTTAGGCTTATAAATAGATGGTGCTCCCCTACATATATAACACAGGCACAAACACATGGGCATACCCATTTCCTCCAAAGCACACAGGACCGCCACATTCTCCTTTATACTACTGTGCACCCAGCTTCCCTACTTCTTTCCTCCCTGGACAGTGTCTGTACCCTCAGTCCTTGGTGGAAAAGAGCTCTGCCTGCCAGAGTGGAGTGAGCAGAATACCAGCCCTAAGGCTTCGGAATGTGTTCTGCCTTCTTTTTGAGACTTCTCTCATGTTAGGGAAAAGGTAGCTGAGGTCCCAAGGAAAGGGACAAAGACAGACTTTACTCTGAAATGGAGGAACTCAGATTTAGGAAGCTGAGCCGAGGTGATTGCCCATAAAAGTGTGGCCACAGCATCTGGAGGAGATTGGAACCAGATGTTCCAGGATGGGGGTAGGGAGGGCATCAGGCAGGAACAGCAGCTCTGGTCAGAAGGTTGGGTTGCCGGCCCAGGGCACTCTGGGGAGAACACCTGGTTGCCCTCTCCCCCCAATTCTCCAAGGCAGGCACTACTATTTTTGCAAACTGGAGCAGCCAAACTTTTCACAGATTCCAGAATCTGCCTTGTGCGTTGGGACAATCAAGTACAGGGTAAAACTTGGGAGGTACCCAGAAAGGCCACCAGCTGGCCAGAAATATATCCTTGTTGCCCCACAGGCACCTCCTTGCTATGGGCTAAGCATCCCCCCCCCACCCCCCGGCAGAGGAAGAGCTGCCTTGAGCACCAAATGTCCTCATTGGAAACCAGTGTAGCCAGAAGTTTGTTTCCAGAACAGGAATAGAGAGCAGTTCAGGATGGGAAGCTCTTTGGCAGAGAAAGCCTGATCATTAAAAACCTACTATTTGCTGGACACAGTGACAGACTGTCTTCAGAGGTCATTTCCTTCCTTCTTCATAACTGTGGCAGGTGTTCCTATCATTAGCAGGACGGTATGACACAACTGAGGCTCAGAGAGGTTAAGTGAGTCATCCAGGGTCACACAAGCACCCAAAGGAAGAACTAGGGCTTTTAAAATGGTGTTGAAGCTTGGGACCTTCCTGCTTCTGAGCAGCATGAGAGCAAAGGAGTGTGTGTGTGCGAAAATGAGGAGCCGATTGGGCCTGATTTGACTGTCGAGGCAACCGTGGGCTTTGGATTCCTTGAAAGGATCCCAGCAGCTTCTAGAGTCTGGCTTGTATTCTGGTGGCTTTAGAGCCTGGGTATTGGGGTTTCTTGTAAACACAGGAGAACTGATGGTAGGTGGCAGGTTTTGGGAGCAAACAACCAGCCATGGAGCAGTTGGTCAGTGTCACAGAGGTAACTCCCCCTGGTTGTGCTGGCCTTTCTACCAAGGTTTGAGATGTGCACCCCAGGGGAAGCTCTGTGGCTTGCTTCTCTTTTCCTGACTCCAGGGCTGAAGGTGAAGTGGCCCTTCTTTCTGTCTTTTCCGTCATGAGGTATCTGGGGCCTCAGACACTCAGACCTGAGAGACAGTGAAGGAGCCACCATGCCTTCCTCACAATGGAGCACATGCATTGCACTGGAGTTGACCTAGTTCAGATTGCTAGGTGTTTAGGAGTGAGAGTGGGCTGGTCATGGGGAGCATTGTGATTTACTCAACTCTTAAACAACATTTCCATAAGCCAGGCCTGTCTGGAAAAGCAAAAACACAAAACAAACAAAAAAAACCACCCCCAAAATGTTTCCACATCCTGCAGTCAGTTTGGAACACTGTAAGGGGGGGAAGCCTTGCTCTCCATCTTCTCCTCACCTACCATCTTACTTTGGCATTCCATCCTCAAAAGTCCGCCCCCCTCCTTCCTCACCATCACTGACTACTCACGCTTTAGGCTGCCATTGCCTGACTGCAAGTCTTTGGAGTGAACATCTGGGCATCCAGACTTGTCCCCCCTACTTCTCAGCTCAACAGTGATAGAGAACCCTGAAACAGCTCCAAGGGCCAACTCTGTGGTCTTCACTTTGCACCTACTACTCTACACACTTGTTTAGGGGCCAATACTAGGTAGGTCTCCATGATGCTCTGCACATTCTACCATTGGCACAGTGTCCCCTGTTTGTCACTCCCAGGAACTGGAATGCCATAGCTCCACTGGCCTTCTCTGATGAACCCAGAAAAGGTCAGAAGGCTTACCCTGGAGTCCTCAGAGGGATATAAGTCTTCCTGAGTGATAGAGTCTTGGGACATGTGCCTGGGGCAGCTGAATGGCTAGGTCATCTGTCTCTAGTCATGTTGTTGTTTATGAGACACACACAAACACACACCTGCCTCCACCACCAGAGTGGGTGAACTGATGCATCCCAGTGGCTGGAAGCCTCTGGTTTTAGACAAGGTTTTGATCATCTTGGTTCCTTTAGGCATATGCCTTAAGGTCTGGGATTGCCTTCCTTTGGATTTTACAAGAATCTGGAAGGCTGGTAGAGAGGATTGTGACTATTGGCTACATCCTCTGTCATGGAGCCAATGCAAAGTTGGTAGGTGACCAGAGGGTTCAGGAATGCCATGTGACTCCCATCATTCAGGAGCCCTTGAATTCTGCTCATGGCCCTACAGGCTGTGTTGAACACCTTTCCCACAGGAGGGGGATTAAGGATAAGTACCTCTGGGCATTTCCTGTATGCATGCAGGTCTCCAGAGCCTAATCTTTAGTCATGTCTGGCAGTGGGGGTGGGGGTTGCTTCAGGCTGGCAGGGGAACATTTGATGTTCTGGAAGACCCTGGGTGCATTGTCTACTTCCCATCACCACTTTCTGCCATCATGTCATGCTCTTCCCTAGGGGTGGGTCCAGATGGCCTGGTAGAGTGCCTACATCTGCCACAGGGAGGAGCTTGGGACTGAGGGAAGAATCCTAGCATCTCCAAGAGTCCTGCTTCAGGGCAAGGCATTGGCTTGCACCAGCATCAGGGTATAACCAGAAGAGGGAAGAAAAGCCTTGTCCTGCTTTCTGTGAGATACAGCCAAAAATCCTAGGGAAGCCTCCTTGGAAAGGAGGGGGCAGGGCTCTCTTCTGGCTTCTCCAGGCTCCAGTCTGGGCCTCCCTGTTGGCACAGCAGGGGGGAGGAGACTGGACAAGACAGCAGCCTTTGTCGCCTGAGGAGAGGGGCCCAAACTGGAATGTTTACACAGTGACTACTGAACCATCCTGGCTTTCCTCTCTAGAGAGCAGAGGATCCCTGGTGCTGGCACCCAGCATCTGCGGGTCAGGATGGACCTAACTTAATCAATGTGGGTCTTCCCACTTCTAATGGGCTTGCCAGCTAGACACTCTCACACACCCCTCCCTCCCGCCCTAGACCAAGAGACAGAAAAGCCAGATGGACAAACATACCCTAAACCTCTTTTATATGCCTCTTCCCTCCCCCAGACAGCCTCTTTATAGAATGTTCTACTCCTGAAGTGTGGGAGGGCTATAAGCAGTGTGTGTGTGTGTGTGTGTGTGTGTGTGTGTGTGTGTGTGTGTTCACCTCAGTGTGAAATCACACCCTTAGGAGTCCTGGAATTTTGAGAGGGAAGGGCAGTCAGAAAAACCAGGTGTTTTGGCTCCATCCTGGCTTCAGACACCCAGCAAACTGGCACATCTGGAAGAATCCACATGTCCCCACATTGCAGACAACATCTGGCACAGGATATTGGCTGTAACACTTTCTGTTTATTGGCTGGGGTGCCCTGGTGTGGCTGATGAGCCAGTGGGCCTAAGAGAAGCCCTGTCTTATTTATCCGCTCCCTCTTCTCCAACTCCCCACCATAGCTCCAAGGGGATAGCCACAGATATTGCACCCCAGGAGGCCTGGAAATGGGGAGTCAAAATAAAACCAAACTGAGGCTGGAGAAGGGGCATGAAATGTACGTTACAATGAAGATTAGGACCACCGGCTATACACAATACAGTGTGTAGAGACGGCAGGGAAGGCAGCAGGGTCCTGCACAGAGACTGTCTTGCCCCAGGCAGGGCCCCAAGGAGGAATGGTCACTTCAAGTGTCTTGGTGAAAGCTCTGGTTCTCTGGCCTCTCTGGTGGGAGGCTGTAGGGAACAGGCTTAGAAGAAGTCCAATTCCCCTACCTCCTGATGACACCTGTCCCCTTGGCCCTGTAGGTCTTGGTGCCTGGGGGTGAGGGACAATGTGTCACCATCTACCTGTCACCCCCCATTGTCCAGTCTGGGTGACCAAGGGAAGCAGGACTCCAGTTCCTGCTACCAAGCAGGGGCAGTCACTTCCTGCTATGGAGTGTGTCCTGGAACTTGGTGCTTGTGTAGCGCAGGTGGAAACCTTTCTTGGAGATGGTGTCATCAGAGTGGAACTTCACCAGGACAGAGTCTCCGGCCGAGTACACTTCCTCAGGAGGCTGTCAGGGAAAAGGATGGGAATGAAGAACTGGGATGGGGCTGCTGCCTTCCCTCCCTGAGGTCCTCAGTGTCTCAAGATTCCCCATGAAGCTGGGGGTGGTGTGTGCCTGTAATCCTGACACTTAAGAAACAGAGCCAGAAGGAGATCAGTCTGGGCTCTTTAGTGATTATACACACACACACACACACACACACACACACACACACACAACACACACACACACCACACACACACACACACAATTTTTTTTAGTTAGTTTTTTTTTTTTTTTTTTTTTTTGATAGATAAGGGACTGGAGATGAAAAGCAGAGTTAAGAGCACTCCTGCTCTCTAGAGGACCTGAATCCAGTTCCCACACTGGGTGTCTCAGAACCACCTATAACTCTAGTTCCGGAGGAGCTGATGACCTTGTCTAGCCTCTTCAGGTACTGCACAAGCCCCACCATATTCCCCGCATACACACAATCAAAAGGCAAGTATCTTTCTTTCTTCAATGAAGCAGTTTCATGCTGCCAGGAACTTAAAGGGAAATCTGGGGAGGGCAGCTTACTTTAAGATCACAATCAGAGCCTTTAATTCCAACACGTGGGAGACAGAGGCAGGCAGATCTCTTTGAGTTTAAGGTCAGTCTGGTCTACAGAGTGAGTTCCAGTCCAGCTAGGGCTAAATAGTGACACCCTACCTCAAAACAAAACCAACTCACCAAACTGTATTTATTTACTTACTCTGTGTGTGTGTGTGTGTGTGTGTGTGTGTAGAGGGTCAGAGGACAGCCTTGTATGTCATTCCTCAGGTACCATTCATTACTAATTAATTAATTAATTAATTGTTGATATAGAGTCCCACTGGCCTGGAACTTGCCAACTAGTGACTGTCCAGTGTCTCTCTGGTTCTGGGATTACAAATGCATGCCACTTAGAGAAGCTGGGACAGCTCTTCTCTGCCCACCCAGCTAGGCAGGGAGCCGAGATGTGGGCATTGCTGTCCTTCACCTGTTTCCATTCTCGCCCTGGTTCTAGTTCTAGACCCAACTTTTTGCTCTGACTCCAGAGCCTGAAGAGCTGCCTCAAGCCCAGGGCCAAGGACTGAGGAAGACAGTGATGTCCTTCTAAGGTGGCTTTATACTCGGACCCTCCAGTTGTAGAAGGAATCATCCCTGGCAGCTCTGAAGACATTTCTGGCAACTATGCCAAAAGGAGGCCTTGCCTGGGCTCCTCTCCCACTCCCCTCTACTTGCTCCAGCCTGGTGACATCCCTGGAAGAGTCCCCTGAAGACATTCCATTTGTTGTGTGGCTAAAAAGAAGGAGCAAAGCATTAACCTGCAGTCGGGGATACCAGAGATGCTGGGCAGCCAGACTGGGGTTGCACATGGCTTCTCCTCCCACAGACTGCCTGCTCCATCTTAGCCCAGCCCCTGCTGCTCATGCTAGGCTGAAGCTCAGTCCCTAAGACAGTGGTTCTCACCCTTCCTAATGCTGCGACCCTTATGCTGTGGTGACCCCCAAACATAAAATTATTTTCATTGCTACCTCATAACTGCAATTTTGCTTACTGTTATGATTATTTTATTTTTTATTTTTTGAGACAGGGTTTCTCTGTATTGCTTTGGAGCCTGTCCTGGAACTAGCTCTGTAGACCAGGTTGGCCTTGAACTTACAGAGATCTGCCTGCCTCTGCCTCCCTAGTGCTGGAATTAAAGGCATGGACCACCAACGCCTGGCTTGTTATGATTCTTAATGTAAACATCTGTGTTTTCCGATGGTCTCAGGTGACCTCTGTGAAAGGTTGTTCAACCCTCAAAGAGGTCTTGATCCACAGGTTGAGAACCATTGTTCTACATGGGAGGTTCAGCTGATGCTGGGCCTAGCAGCTGAGACCACTCCAGGGAAGTTTAACCTTCTCTGGGGCAGCAAAGGGGAGAGGGAAAGAGGCAGGAGCCAGGGACTGCAGTAGAGTGTAGCTGTGAGTGTGGATGTGTGGGAAGGAAATGGCGAAGGGTGACAGGATGAAGATAGGGAGAGAGGAGAGGATAAGGGGGAAGGAGGCAGAGAGGGGGAGAGGGAGGGAGAGGGAGAGAGAGAGAGAGAGAGAGAGAGAGAGAGAGAGAGAGAGAGAGAGAGAGAGAGAGAGAGAGAACAAGACCCTAATATGCTACTGGGAGGAAAATAAGTATATCTATGGTCTAGGCCTGGCCTTTCTCACAAACCAGTCAAAGGGATTGTGCAGTCAGAAGCAACCCCTAAGGCCTGCTTGGATAGCAGCAGCTGCAATGGCTTCAAGATACAGCGGCCTCACCAGGTGAAAGAGATAACGGTGTTTATGGTTCAGCTGGTCTGGTTAGAGTGACAGCTCAGGGTCCCTGTTTCTGATTCTGTCTCTAACCTTTGTCCCACCCCACACCCTCAGGGAAGCCCTGGAAACTGGTGGTGGTGGGGTCAAGGGTTGAGTGGTTCAGGGGGAACCCTATCAACTCCAGTCTCAGATACACGCAATTTTATGGGCCAGACCAGACTTGCCCCAAGGGGGCAGAGGTCAGGGTGGGGCCCAGGCCAAGGGTTGTGAAAACCTTTACTTACATTGCCTAGAAAGGACCCTGGTTCCCTGGGTAAGGATAGCCCAAGGTGTGATGGCCTCTGAAAGTGCCCCCCAGGTTTAGCATATTGGCTTCTGCAGAGGGCCAGGCAGGGGAATTAGGATGAGGGCTGGAAGGCAATGTGAGGTATGGGGCCAGGAGGGTGCTCACCCCAGAGCCGCAGTAGCGCCCAAGTCTAGGAGCTGTGCTGTCATAGCCATCGAAGAGTTCCATGTAGTCATAGCCACAGTCGGTCTCCTCCTCCACCTCGAAGGTCTGGAACACCAACTCCACACCATAGCCTTCCTCAGCCACAATGACCCACTCACAGTCCACCCCTCCAGGGTAGTTGTTATCACCAAATTGGGCATGGGAATAAAGGTCTTTGGTCTTCACATCTGCCCGCACCTGGCCCCCACACTCTGCAGGAGTGAATGACAAGATTGGCCACCACTGATGAGAATATCATATTAACAGTCTGTGCAGTACCACCCAGAACCACAGAGACAAATTCCGGGGACAGAGGCCATGTGGCCAGGGATAGGTGGGATCTAGCCTAGCCCCAAGAAAATGCCCTGTATGCCATCTTGGGATAGAGACCCAAAGAGGAGGCTAGGAGACCCTCTAGGGTGAGACCCGGGGTAAGAGGTCACACTGAGCAGTGGTGTAGGGAAAGGGGAGCTTCACCTGCGAAGGAATAATTCCTGTGTTCTAGCTGAAGGCTGTCATGGAAGAACATGCCCAGCTGTGTCAGACTTTACACTAGCAGATAAAAGCTCTACACTTGTGTGTGAACTGGTTTGTGAGTATTGGCTCAAGTTTAAAATTAAAAAAAGACAACCAACCAACAACAATAAACCCCACCACCCCGCTGTGGGTCAAACACTGGTGGATTTGCAGCCTCCGGTTTGTGAATGTGTGCTAGATACAGCAAGTGGCATGAAAAACACGGACAGAGCTACCACCCTCCTCTGCATGTCCCTGGCCTTCCTCCTGCACCCGAGGCTCAGTTTCTGGGGAAGAGGTGAGCTAGGCAAGCTCTGTGTTAGGACCGAGGCAAATAGAAAGGTGGAAGGCTACGGGCCTACCAGCTCTGGGATGCCCAGGGCTCGCCAGTAGACAATGAAATGTGACACTGACCTCTTTGGCCTGCATCTGGGTCTCTGAGGACTGGCCTCTAGCTTCCCTCTGCAGCTACATAGTTCTCACTGCCATCCTCACACACCCTGCTCTCTCAAGACCAGGTGACTAGCTGTCCTATGTGTACCATGAGCTTTGCTGGAGCTCTGCCCGCCCCATGACTCCAGCAACTCCCCCAAGCCAGGTTCCTTTCTTTTCGCCCTAGTCATGTTTTGTCTTATGCTGTCATCATCAATGCCTGGCTTATCTGTCTGCTGGACTATGAGCTCCTGGGGCAGGCGGGGTAAGGGCTGATTCACTGCTATGTGCCCCCAGGTCAAATAAAGAAGCAGAGCACAAGCTCCCTGAGGCCTGGGATCTTCAGCTAGGCTCATTTTCTGGCCTGCACTTAGAATGATGCCTTTTGCCTGCAGAATCAAAGAAACAGTACACTGTAGGGTTGGAGTGTGGGTGGGCCGAGGCGGGTTCATTATTGAACATGCTACAGTGGGGACAATCAGGTGATGCTATCCCCATTCCTAGGTTCCTAGCCATGCTTTCCTCTGAACACCGTCACCATAGCCTGTTTTCCGATCTTCGTAATCCCCGATTCCTTCCCCACTTCCCCCTTAGTGTTCACGCTAATGATCTGCACCTCAGAACACAATATTGACCCTGGGGCTATGGGGCTCTGCTCTACAGACCTTCAAAGGCCCCATGTAAACTCAAGGCCATGGTTGGCAATCAGAGTCAGCAATGTACCTGGAGCCAATATCAGCGTAAGGGCATCACCTAGCTGAGGCTGGCCTCACCTGTGGAGTGGGATGCCTGGAAGCCTTTCCTCTGCACTGAGTTGTCTGAGTAGAAACGCAAGAACATGCGGCTGCCTGTAGCCAGGACAGGCTCAGGCTTCTTACTGCCACAGAATCGGGCAAGGACTGGAGCCTTGGCATCACGCCCATCAAATACCTCCAGGTGGTCATAAGCGCACTCAGGCTGAGACTCAATATCCATCTCCATGAAGGTCTGGGGGATACAAGAAAAAATCCAGATTAGAGGCATGGCTAAGGCAGCTGGGGAAGGGTCCCCAAACCTCTACACCTCTGGACCCCAGATGATACACAACCATGGTGGCAATCAGGGCTGTGGGATGATGGTGAGAGAGGACTCAGGAATGGGCAGTAGCAGAGATATCCCCAAAATACATTTGGGAAGAGGGCTCCTGTTGGGGAAGAATTGTTTCCATATGGACAGGTAGGCCCTGAGGCTCAGCCAGGCCACCCCGTCTACAGCCAACACCTTGGACTCACACTAGTCTTTGCAGATGGCAGAAGCAAATGGCCACTTGACATCGAGGAGCAGGGTGTCCACACAGGGTGCCAAGTGGTATCTTACCAGCTTTACCCGATGCCCAGGGGTGCTGGAGATAGCCCACGTACACTCCTTCTTGCTGGGGTACTTGTCAGGCCAGTTGGGACTGGTGATGGTGCCACTGGTAGAGGTCACCTTGTGTTCACAGCCGGCTGTGGGACGAGTGACAGAAGGGTTCACCAAGGACCTCCCACCCGATGCCTCCTGTGAAGAAGGTGCTTCCCTCCTGCCCACTCCTTTGCTCTGGCTCTTGTCTCCCATTTACAAATGGACTGGAGGCACACATTTCTTTCTCATTCAGCTACCCATGCTGGAGGAGAATTTAATGACTTGGATTCTAACAAAGCCTTGGTTAAGACCCCCAGGTGCAGCAGATGAGGCCCTCGATCCTTTTGTGACCATCTGGCCACACCACTTCTGTCCAACTGTCACACTCTGTCTTCTCTGCAACCTGGGAGCTGCCGTGCATTGTGAGGCCGTGTCATCCACAGTCACTGAAGACTTTGGCACCTGACTCAATCATCCCCAAACTCCACTCCCGCTTCCATCATAGATGACAGAAACAGACAAGTGGCCAGCTCCGCCTCTGTGACTTCCGACTTTCTCAGTTCTGGTTTTCATCTCTTCTCACAACCTCACTCTGCGTTTTTCCAATATGCTTCACTTTCCTGCGTTTTTCCCCCAGCGTGCTTAGAGTTCCCTAAGTATCCATCAGGGATTTGATCTAGAACCCCTCACAGCTATCAAGATCCACAATGCTCAACTCTCTTGTATAAAATGGTGTGATATTTGCCCACAGGACTAACTGTATTTTCAAAAGGAGGTTGGCTGAATTCAAATAATGGACCCACCACCTAGAGGTCTGTCTTCCTCCACAGTAGGTCAGTTGGCTGGTCTCTGCAGCTAGATAACACAGCTGGCCACCAGATTACTGACAGCCTACCTTCTACCTTAGAAGCCCCATTCAGCTGGGTCCAGGAGCATATGCTATAATTCCAGCCACAGGGGAGGCCAAGGCAGGAGGATCACAAGTTCAGCTAGCAATTTAGTAAGACTTTCCCTCAAAATAAAAAGTAAAAAGAGAGCTGAGAACATAGCTCTGTGTGCAGAATACTTGCCTGGGGTGCATAAGACTCTAAATTCAACCCCCAATACACACCAAGCAAGCCAGCAAACAAGGAAAGGATTCTAGAGAGCTGTCTCAATCAATACAGTGCTTGCCAGCCAGGCAGTGGTGGTGCATACCTTTCATTCCAGCACTCAGGTGGCAGGTGGATCTCTGAGTTCAAGGCCAGCCTAGACTACAGAGTGAGTTCTAGGACAGCTAAGCTACATAAAGAAACCCTGTCTTGAAAAACCAAACCAAACCAAAAGACAATAAATAAATAAAGCATTTGCCACACAAATACAAGTATGAGATCCCCAGCACCCACATAAAGCCAGGCATGGTACCACACACCTAAAATCCCAGCACTGGTAAGGCAAGGTCAGAAGGATCCTGGAGCTTGCTGGCCATCTAGTCTAGCCAAATCATTAGGACCCAGGCTCAGTGAAAGACCTTGTCTCAAAATATATGGTAGAGAGTGATTGAGGGAGACACCTGATGTCAACTTGTGGTTTCCACATGCACATCCCCTCCAACACACACACACACACACACACACACACACACACACACACACACACACTAAATAAATAAATAAATTACACAAATAGCAAGTTCGTTTGTGGCGTCCTACTTCCCCAGGACCCCCAGATCATTTGACCCTCATTATACTTGTCACTCACCACCTCCATCTATCAGCAACAAACCTCCAGCCTTCTCCTCAGGGTACTTGTCTCAACTTTCTTCCCTCTTGGCAGCAAGCCAGTCTCCCTTACAAGTCCTGGAGAAACGAGGTCCTCTGATGTAAACCCTCCTTGCCTCTCCTTCTTGCCCACCCTGGGGCCCCTGAGAAGTTGCCCTGCCTCCCTGTGAGAGTGGACTGTCCTTGTGAAAGCAGGCGTTCACTGCTGCCAATAGCCAGGGAACACTCACACCAAAGAGGACCTCTCTCCCAGCTCTGGAGCCCTCGAGACCCTGAAGTCACCCTCCTCGTCTCTGGAGGCCTTGGTTTTTTCTCTTGCTTTTTCTTCCCAGCTCATCTTTCACAGATCTGGCTACCACCGCATTCTCCTTAACTATGCCTCTTCTACCTACAGTAACCTGACTCCCACACAGAGCAAGGCCTCCCAAACACATATTTAAAAGCTGATGACCACTGCCACAAGGTCAGGACAAGGCTAGCCTAGACTATGGTGTGAGACCCTGTCCCAAAACTAAACAAAAGCCAATGGTCACTATTCATGACCAGCCAGTAGCAGGATCCTTAAAGATAAGTGTATGATACAGATCTAAAATGTCCCTTAGACACTTAAGAGATGTCCCCAGTGCAGCAATATGGCTTTTGGAAAGTCACTGGATCTCATCAATAGATTAATCCACTGATGCACTCATGCTTGAACAGACTATTGAGGGAGAGAGGGGTTGGAAACTCTAGCAGTTGAAGTCAAGTTGAGCTCTGAGCCTCGCTAGTCTCTGAAGGGTATGTCTTGCCCCTGACCACTGCTGCCTCTCTGCCCGCACCCTCTTCTGTGTCACCATAAGTTGGGCAGCTTTGCTTGTTACTCCATGAACTCTGCCATGATATTGGCCTTGCCTTAAGTCCAGTGATGGAGCCAAGTGATTCTAGACCAAACCCTTCATGAGCCAAGATAAAATTCACACCCCCTTCTTTGTTTTGTTTTTTGAGACAGGATTTTTCTGTGTAGCCCTGGCTGTCCTGGAACTTGCTCTGTAGACCAGGCTGGTCTCGAACTCACAGAGATTCACCTGCCTCTGCCTCCTGAGTCTTGGGATTAAAGGCAAGCACCACTACCACCTGGCAAAAATTTCCTTTCTTTAAGTTGTTTTTTTCAGAGGGTTTTTTGGGTGACAGAAAGCTGGCTAATAGAGAGAGCAGTTGGTCAGTGTGTGGTGGGTTGTTGAGGGGAAAGAGGCAGGCAGGCACAAGCCACACACTGAGACTAGAGCTAAGGTTCACCTAACTCTTGAGTCCTCAAATCTCTGTGGGTATCTCACCTGCCTCCCTGCTGTTGAGCTGTGGACTGTCCTCATCCCTCACCTGCAGCTTCTGGTGGCCCCTCTGTGCACCCTACCTCCTCACTGGGTTACTGCTCTGCCTCCCAGGTACCCTGCATCTCTTCTCAGGCTGGGTGCCATCGCTGTGCACATTCCCTCAAAGAACATTGAATGGAGTTAGATCCTCCGTGGGGGCCAGGGGTGTGGACTGATCAGCCTGCCTCCCAAGTGAGAGGCAAGGAGTGCTTCTCTACTTGCACCAGGAGGGGAGCTGATGAGCACACCACCATCCCTTTCCACTTAAACTGCAGAAATGCAAGGCCGGTTAGAAAACCACAGGACTGGTTCTGCCAGCTAAAGGCAGTGGGTGCTCTGTGAGTCAGACGCTGGCTCACTCCCTTCCCGGGCACCCTCGGTGGTTGGTGGAAGCTCTCAGTGCCACGTGGCTTCACTTCTCTAATTCTGCTCAGAAGCTATTTATTTATAGTTGGGTTGTTCACTTAATGACAGTGAAGAGTCGTCTGTCAGGGACTATCTCAGTGCACGGAGTAATAGCAATCAGGCCTAGCACTCTGATGAGCAGGGTTTTGTTTGTTTGTTGTGTAATGAATGCAGAAACAAGCTCAGAGGAGTTAAATGATTCTCCCCAAGTCACACAAACATTCAGTGGTAGAGGCAGGCCTGTTTGGCTGTTGGGATTGCAGTGCTCAAGCAGGCACAGGACACAGAATTAATGAGTTGGAACAGTGTTGTATCATGTCCAGCTGGATGCTGAGTGTTGAGGAGAGAGCTGCCTTTAAACAGACTGAGCATCCCTCATCCAAAATGCTTGGGACCAGAAGTGTTTGCAATATAGGAACGTAGGTAATGAGCGTTAAGAGTGGAACTCAAGTGCCAACTAAGTTCATTCATGTTTCATATATTCCCTATGAGTACAGACTGAAAGCAGTTTTTAAATTTGTAAAATTTGGGGCTGGAGAGTTGGCTCAGTGGTTAGGAACACACATTGCTTTTTCAAAGGATCAAAGTTCAATTCCCAGCACCCACATCAAGTTTCCAGCTTCAAGGGAATCCGATGCCCTCTTCTGGCCTCCACTGGTAACTGTAGTCATGTGCACACACACACACACACACACACACACACAATCTTCAAATTTATTATTATTACCACTGCATATATGAACATGTTTCATGTGTGTGGTTGCACGTGTGCATACCACAGCACATGTGGGTAAGCCTGAGGACAACTCTGTGGTTCTCTTCCACCTTTATGCAGGTTATAGTGATAATCTCAGGCTGAGCCATCTTGACAGTCCCTGAAGGTATTTTTCATAATATTTTTAGTGTGCCTGTGTTCTGATTACGACCAATTGCATGAGATTGGGGTAGAATTTCCCACTTGTAGCATCATGTTAGTATTCAAAGAGTTTCAGATTTTTAAAACATTCTGGATTTTGAATGTTCAGATTCGGGGTGTTTAACCTGTATTTGCAGGGCTCTGGTGTCAGAGAAAGCAGCAGCCCTCCCTGCTCTGAGAGTCCCCAGGGTGCAGTATGGCCCACAACAGCAATGCACAGAATTGTGGTGGCTGGGAATACTTCCTCACTTCCCAGCACTCATGATCTTCATTTTACCTGGGACAATCCAGGCACAGAGTGAGGAAGCAGCCACTCAAAGGCACACAGTTATCCAAGTGACAGACCCAGGGCAGGCAACCTAGCTTCATCGTCTGTGCTCGTAACCACTATCCTTTCTGTTCTATGTGTCAGAGGAGGCCATAACAAACAGAAAGGCTTGGGTTCGGATTCTAAGAGCCCAGAAATGAGCTGGGTGGTGGTGTTGCATGTTTTTAATCCCAGCACTTGGGAGGCAGAGGCAGGTAGATCTCTGTGAGTTTGAGGCCAGCCTGGTCTACAGAGTGAATTCCAGGACAGCCAGGGCTGTTACACAAGAAAACCATGTCTTGAAACGCTGCCCCCCCCCCAAAAAAAAAGAGCTCAGAAATGGACTTTTCTCCAGGTGTGGACAAGGGGAGAGCATTTGTGCATGTGAACTAAATACCAAAATAAGGGAGAGTGGCCCATGTACCAGGTGGGAGGTACTAGCCTTCTATTCCTTGGGATGGAGATGGCTGCATGTGGATGGCTCTGGGCAGTACAAGCTCGGATCACCCTATCCATCTTCCTCACTCTCTGCACGGGCCTTACCTTCTTTGCAGTCATGCTTATTGTCATGAAGGACGAAGCCACTTCGACATTGACACTCGTAGCTGCCGAACGTGTTCACACAGTCTTGCTGGCAGCCACCATTGTCCTTGGAGCACTCGTCCTTGTCTGTAAGGATGCAAACAAGAGCAATGGGTCTGTGTGGGGTGAGGTCTGGTCACCCCAGGGGAATTGGGAGGCCTGGCAGGGCTCCCTCCGGTGGGAAGGAGTGCACAGGAGGGCTGGGCGTGGTGGAGTGGGAGGTCAGGGTGATGATGGAGTTCTGGACACTGCATCAGTGGAACCAGCTGAGTGGGCCTCTGCTTTGGGCAGAGAAGGCAGAAGTGGGCAGAAGTAGGTGGAGGGAGGGCTGGGGTCTGGAACTGACCAGCATGGGAACCTCTACCATTACCTGCTTACTGGACAGACGGACAAGTGGAAAAACAGACACAGGGACAAGCAGACTGCAAGAGAAAGGAGCAGGACGCGGGGTCCCTCTTTTACTTCACAACAGGAAATGTCACAGACACCATCAGAATGGGAGGGGGCAGGGAAGGTTCCCCTGTCTGCTGAGGGGGCAGGGGAAGAGGAGAGCACCAGTTCTGTCCAGCCAAAGGAAGTAGCTGGAATGGCAGAGTGGAGGCAGGGAGTGGGTGGGCTCCAAAGCCCCCAGCCCGCTCCGTCCGAGGTGAGCTTCCTGAGTAATGAAGGGTCTGGGGGCCTGGCAGGCCTCATTGGGGGGTCCGGTTTCTTTTCTGCACTCGGAATTTGAGCTGGTGGGGGCGTCCCCGAGGGGGCTGCAGAGCTGGCCTCTTTTCTGAAATGAGAGAGAGAGAAGGAGAAAAGGGACCGAGGAGTGGGGTGGAGGGCAGGAACCGGGGACGGAAACCAATGAAAGCTAGACCCAGGGTGTCCAGACAGGTGGACAGGGCAGAGAGGGGCAGGGGGCAGGCAGACCCACATGCAGGACGGCCATGTCACTACGGCTGGGTTAGCAAGAGGCACAGCGACAGGTGACAAGACTGGGCCTGTGGCAAGGGGGAGGGCTGCAGGGGTGACGCCCTCTGAGGTGTGCACACTGCGGACGCACAGCCGCTGGTAGTGGGGAGCAGTGGCTGCGTAAGAGCTCTGTTCACCCTCACTTTGACAGCTGCAGACAGCGTGTGAGACATGAACATACACATAAACACAGGCTCCCCATGCAACCCCGATCATGGAAAGAGATAAACGTGTCCGCATGTCCTGCATCACCCACACCCAGGCAAACACCTACAGTATACCATGAAGACTCAGACACAAAGTCACAGTCACGTACATATAACCTTCTCACCCACCGGTTTGTGGGTGACCCACATGACCTACTCCATGTGTGAGTGTGGAAGCATACACAGATAGAAACACACAGGCAGGAGCAGACACATAGAGGGAGACAGACAAACCTGCATACATGGGGACATGAGGACCCAATGTGGATGCAGACACACATCCATGCAGAGGGGCTCATGCCCATCGTGTGGGCATTTACAGAGTTGCTCACATGCTGACAGGCACACATGTGCACACACACACAGGATGCACACAGTCACAGGTTTACATGTGCCACATCATTGTTCTAAATCGGTATACCTGGCACCGAAAAAGCAGCCGGGACAGATGTGTGAATCCCAGCTATACCCAGAATTCCAGAGGTGAACCATGAAGTGGAAAGATGGCTGCACCCATCAGGCTTATATGTGATAAGTGGACATTATTCCTAATCAAACCTGAGGAGAGGAGCCTGGGCGGCAGCACTGAAGGCCCTGCTCCTCCCACCCATGCTCAGGTGGGCTAGACCCATCAAGAGTCCACAGGAGCATGTGGCTAAGAGGTAGAGTTGTCAAGCCCCTTCCCAGAGGCTCCTCTGGACAGCAGAACCCGACCAAGGAAGCTGCCATTGTACAGGTATGTGAGGAATATCCTGAGTGTGGGGGTACCTCTCTTGGGGCTCTGCTAGGAGTTCCAGGGGGCTCAGCTCACAGAGTATAAGCCACAGCTTCCCTTACATGTTTGGACCCCCATGCCTTCTTCATAAGTGCTCCCCAAATACCTAGTCCAGTGCCTGGAACACAGGTGGAGTGAAATAAAAACATTAAGTCAATGAGTGGATGGGTAAGTGAATGACTAAAGGAATGATTGAGGGAATGTCAGTTCTGTGGATGGCTGCCTTAACATCTGGGAGGGGGTGCTGGCACATCGAAGAGTAGACGGCCCATTTGGTGACTGGAGAACACATTACAGGGGGTCAGGTCAGGGGAGGTGGCACAGACCCCAACAAGGAGATGGCACTCACCCTACAGTGCCCAAATGCCCCGGAGGTGCTGGGGTCAGACTGAAGGTCTTCAGGCTCTTGCTTCTCCTTCTTGTCTTAGGGTCTCCTCGATAGGTGTCCCAAAAGTCCACACAGGCCCCTCCTGGGGGCCAAAGTCACATGCCCTAGGCCCTGAGGCTGGACTCTGATGCCCATCGATGAGGGTCCTCTGCAGGTTTCTTGTGCAAGGGGGGTAATGCATGTGTGTATGCAATTGGTGTGAGCATGTGTATATGCATGTATGTATCTTGTACGGTGTTGAGTCTTATGTTAGGGATGGGGAGACAAGGCAGTAACTCCAGACAGATACAAGTATTGCCCCCATCCTCTCCAAGACTGGAGCAACAGAAGAGGGCAGAGACAGACAAGAGTAAGCAGGTAATGGTTTCTCTGAGAAGCCCACCCTGGCAGCCATTATATCCCCTCAGCCTCGGGAAAGCATCTTTGTTCTAGGTGGACCAGGGAAGGAGGGGCTTGGTTACACAGAGAGGGGCCCAGCAAGCAGTGGGTCAGGGGGCCGGAGGCAACAGCTCAACAGAGCACGTTAAGCAGAGCAGGGCAGCTGGCAACGCCAAGCAGGGGCATCAGTGCATGGGGGCAGGTGGGCAGCATCCAGGTGGGACAGGCAAGGGCACAGGACAACCACACAGGGGGCTCGGATGCAGGGCTCTGGGTAAGGCGGGGAGAAGGGAGGCAGCGTGGACGAAATCATGGGCTTCTTGCTTCCTGCCCACCCTATGACCCCCCACCAGGAGAAGTCAGGGTGAAGGTCCCTACCCCACCCCCATTCACAAGCCACCTGCTCCAGCCAGCCTAGCAACTTCCTGCTCTTCCACACTCCACTGCAGAGGAGTCTCACCCTTCAAGGCTGGGTCCGTGCCCTTTTGTTCCTGGCCTCACACTGACCCAGGGTCAAAGACTTAGGGGTTCCTAAAGCAGGGGAGAGGTCTCTCAAGACCCCCGAGATCCAGCTTGGGAAAGCTGGGATTGGACCACCCAGAGAGGACCTTCAAAAGGGAGGACTTCGTCAAAAGATGAAACTACGGGATCAAGCCAAGCCTTCCATGGCAGGGGAATGGGCAGCTTTGGTACTAAGGGCGGAGGCGACTCCTCTTTTGGGAAGGCCTGGCATGAACCCAGTGGTCCGGGCGGGGTCTGATTAGAAGCCCAGCTGCTGCCAGATGAACTGCCCTACACAGTCCAAGGCAAACACCCTCCTCTTCTCTAGTCCCAGGCAACTCTGTTCTCAGGCAACTGAACTCCCTGTCCCAGGACCTCCCCTTCCAGGCCTTGGCCTACAGGCTTCTTCATTTCTGCCCCTCCCTGGGCCTGGCACAACTAAGGTTTTAAGGGCTTCCTAATGAAGATATTCAGATGCCCCAGGGGCTGGCCTGATGATAAGTCCGGGAGGCAGGGGGCAGGCTAGGAGACCAGGAAGGGCAGGAGAGCCCCCTTTTTGGGTGGGAAGTAGGGCTAAAGATCAAGGAATCCAGGGTTACCTGAGAAGAAGTGGGCCTTGAAGCCCTTTTTGGACACAGTATTGTCAGACTTGAACTCCACACGCATATTGTTGTACTGGGAAGTGATGACCTCGGGCTTCTCAGAGCCACAGAACTTGCCGTGAAGCTTAGAATCAGCCGTGAGTCCACTGCGCACCTCCACGAAGTCATACTTGCAAACCTGCCGGACAGTCCAGCTCTGGCTGCCTCCTCCAGGAAGCCTGTCTCCCAACGACCCCCTTCCAGGGGAACTGTCAGGCTGCTGTGTGTACCGCAGAGCCCCAGGGCAGCTGGCCCCAGGCCCTCTCTCATTCCACAAGCTTCCAGCTCAATGCCCATTCTCACCTTCAGATGTTCCTTCACGGCCCCTCAAACCCACCAAGCTTCCATGTGTTGGGCAGTCTCTCTGTTCTCACAGCCTTTCTGCGCGGTTCTCTCCCAATGGGAGAAGGCAGGCACCGAGCCAAGCCCCTAAGCCCCACCCAGCCTTCCTACCCACCAGAGGCACTTACGTCATTGCCCTCAGTCTCGAAGAAGTCAAATTGTAGAGAGATACGGTACTGGGTGGGGGCCACCAACTGCCAGATGCAGTTCTTGTTGGGAGGGTACTCTTTGGGCCAGCCGGGACTGGTGATGGAGCCATTGAGCTTGGTGAGGAATCCACCACAGGCAGCTGGAGGGACAAGGGAGGTGGCATTATCCTCCTGGAGTCCCCACTCTAGGGAGGGGCCTGAGGCCTAGGCTGGGCAGTAGTCAGGGGGAGGTGGGGGTCTGTGAGCCCCACAACTTGGGGGCATGGGACACAATGAGAGGTCTTTGGAGGTGAGCCCAAAGTTTTAGAGCAGGAGGGCTACATATATGGTCATTTTTACCACCTTTTCTAGAAAATGGGCAAGGAATCTGCTGGGAGGGGGTCTCAGAGGGGCTGGGGAAGGTGTACACATGGGTATACATGGATGTACATGTATACATGGGTAGTCCTGGGAGGCACTGAGAGGGGCTGTTCAAAGGCAGTTAAGGCCAGCCTGATCTGGAACTGTTCTGAAGGGTTGTCGCTAGCATATAGACTGAGTGAGAATAGTGACTTCTGAACTGTGGATCATGACCATCTAGAGAGTGGTGACATTGATTACCAGGTCAAGATCACTATTAACAAAGGAGTCGGAATAAAACCCCCTAGTGCCAGTGTGTATCACAGCCTGCCAGTGATCTGGGGGCTGACATGTAGAACAGCTTTCTCGTGCATGGCTGGGAATGGGACTAGGGAACTTCTCCAGCTTGTCCTGGAATGAGACAGACCAAAGGCACAGGGAAGAAATCAGTGGCCCAGGGACAGAGCAAGGCACTCACCCTCACATCGACGCTTGTCTGGGGCCAGCTCATACCCGGGGTCACAGCTGCACTTGTAGCTGCCCAGGGTGTTCAGGCACCGTTGCTCACAGCCCCCGCGGTTGGGCCTCGAGCACTCGTCCACCTCTGTGGGGAGGAAAGGAGTGTCACAAACCATAGGCCTGACTTTGATCCCTCTCCCTGCACTGGGCTGGGCGTCCGAGCCCAGAGTCTCAGCGTTCCTGTGACCCCCCCCCCATTGCAGGGGGAAGTCAGATAGATGAAAGCCTCACTTGTCTGTTCAGCCCTGAGCTATCCCCAAGTCCCCACAGCAGCTGAGAACCCACAAGAATATCCTACACCTTCCTCCAGAGCATTCAGGCTGGCTGGCAGCTACCATCAGCTCCTATACACCAGTCCCCACCAAAGTGCTGTCCTTTCGTTTCTCCTTCACTCACTACGTGACACCTAGTGTGGAGGCAGTTATTGGCAGGCTTGGGGAAACAGTGTGCCCCAGACCACACCGGTTAAACCAACTCTGTCTGTCTCACTCTTTCCCCAAGCCCCCACGGCTCTGCTCCTCACTGGGCTGGTCTTTGCTAATGTTTATCCACAAGGTTTTAATGCCACAACCTCAGTGCCCCTGCATTTGCATCTCTCTAACAGAGCCTTCACATTAAATGAATGAAGAGTAAAGAAATTAGGGACTCGGTATCCACAGAAGGAGAGTTTGGGACGCGGAGGAAGTACCTTTGAAAAAGTTGACAGCGAAGCCAGCTTTGTTAATGGACCCATCGGAGACGAACTTGAGCCAGAGCCGGCTAGATGTGCTTTTGATGTCATCAGGTTTCTCGTAGCCACAGTAGCGCCCAATGAGGTTGCTGCTCTCACTGTGCCCATCCCGTACTTCCAGGTAGTCATAGGCACAGCTGTCATGACGCTCGATCTAGGAGTCAGGGACTCCATCAGGGAAAGGAGCTCTGGTTTCCAGGATCCCCACCCCCAGAGCCTTCGGAGAGGTCAACTGTCCTAGGGACCAACATAGACATTGTAGGGTCTGTGGCTACCTCAAAGGACTGGAACGTGAGGCCCACGTGGAAACCCTCAGACACTTGGATCCGCCAGATGCAGACTTTGCTGGGCCGGTAATCGTCTGGGTAATTGGGTGACTGGATATGGCCATTATCCTTTTTCACATCACCACCGCAGATGGCTTTGGGAACAGGGGATAATGGTGGTCAGTATGCTCCACTCTGCCTAAGTGCCCTTCTCTACTCTCCCAGCTCTTTCAACATACCCTGTTCCCCATCGCCCACCCTGCTGACCCTGCTGGAGAAACCACAGCAGGGACCCTGGTGGCAACAGGAAGGAGTGGCTCTGGACTATCCAAGGGTCCCCTTCCCTTCCCTCAGTACCTTCATAGACGGCAAAGAAGCCCTTTCCAACCCAGTTGCTGCTGCTTCGGAATTCCACCCAGAGGCGGCTGTCAGTAGATACAATGGGCTCGGGGAGTTTGCCCCCACAGAACCGGCCTGCGGACAGTAGGGAGAGATAACTCTTGAGTCCCAGGGCTCTCATATAAGCCCCAACTCCCCAGGAGGCCCAGGGCTCCAGTGTGCAGCCACCTACTTGTACATATTCCTAAGACCACCAGAAGAGCCAGAAACCCCTTAAGGGACAGGACAAGAACTGAATGGCAAGTGTGTTTTACTGATTTGGGGGGGCATGTGTGATTTGGGGGGGTTATGTTGTTTTCTAAAAATAAACAATGTAGCCCAGGTTGGCCTTGAACTTTTGGTTCAAGGCCTTGGCCTCCCCAGTGGTGAGATTTTAAGCATTAGACTGAACCCACGGCTTTGTGCATTTTAGGCAAGCACTCTACCAGACAAGCTACATTCTAGGCCCAAGCCTCCAAAGTCCTGGGATTAAAGTTTATTGACCTTTTAAAAAGCATGTTACCATCATGACTGATCTTTATGAGATCCCCATGCAAACAAACACAGAGAAGGAAACAGACACAGCTTTCTCTGCAAATGTTAGAGCATGCACTCCCTTTTTTCTGCCACTGGGTCAAATTCAGGGGATGTCCATGCAACTACAAACTCCAAAATCTGGGGACAGGGACAGGAAGCAATCCTGTTCAAATAAAACTCAATAATAATCAACACAAGGGGTAAGCTGACCATCTGGGAATTCTTTAGAGTCAAGAATTTATTGGGAAAGAGTTGCTTCAAGAGCTGGGAGGTAGTGGCTCACGCCTTTAATCCCAGGACTTGTGAGTTCGAGGTCAGCCTGGTCTCTAAAGTGAGTTCCAGGACCAGCCAGGACTGTTACACAGAGAAACCCTATCTCGTAAAACCAAAACAAAAAAGGGAATTTATTGGGGGATGATTTGTGTGTTCCTAGTAAGTGTGAATGTTTCTCAACTTTCAGCAAGGGACAGAAGGTAGGTGCTAGGCTAGGAATGTCAGTTCCAAGAAAGAAAGTTTGATCTTGGAGACCTAATACACTAAACTGTTGTGTCAGCAGCTTTGGGTGACTGGCAGGTCTACTAGAATACCAGAAATGGGAAGTGAAGAGATGATTATCTAAAAGCATCTGGCTGCTTCCCAACAGCTTATGGGACAACGATGCTGAGGGTGAAGAGTAGGTAGCCCTAAACCATGTCAAACTACAAACAGATGGAACAATGAACAGGGTCACACAACACCTCAGGCTTGATGCAGATGTCCTCTTTGCTCTAATTTTATGTCCACTGAGCTGCCTGTTTGTTCAAGGGTGCTTTGGTTTTTGTTGTTAGGTAAGGTCTCGCTATCCTCAAACTCAGGATCTTTCTGCCTTGGCCTCCAAAAAGTTGGAAGTACAGCACTACTATGCCTAGCTTTGTCCTGTGGCTTTGATCCCCTTTATCTCACTACACACACACACACACACACACACACACACACACACACACACTATTAGTGACAAAGTACCTTGTATGAAGAGAGCCAGGTGGCTGTTCCAAGCCTACAGTTTAAATCCTCGTAGATCAAGGAAATCCCAGGGTGTGAGCCTACAGCTATGGGATGTACAAAACAGCCTACCAGATATCTCTGTATAGTCCTGTGACTCCCCAACCTTTATTGCATCTTCAGAGGGTAGCTCAAAAGTCTATAGTAAGAACTGGAAGTCTGGACCACAGACAGGAGTTGCCCACTGTCACAGGACTAGTTAATGATGGAACTAGCAGGGACAAACTACATCACAGCTTGTAGGTCTCATATCAGGATGCCACCCCCTTAGGATATTGGGCCACAGACTGTTCCTACGAGGAACCAGGGTGCTGAGGAGGCTCAGTGGCCAGTGCCCTTTACCTCGGAGGGGCGCCTTCCTCCAGAAGCCGTCACGCACCTCCACATAGTCATACCAGCATAGGCGGCTGCGGTACAGGTCCATGGATGTGAAGTTCAGAATGATCTAGGGAGAGCAACAAGGTGTGAGGAGAGAAGGTTACACTGCTCCCACTCTGGACCTGACCCTGGGGCCAGGTATAAGTCAGTACCTGGCAGGAGTGAGAGCTAGCCATTACAAGCATGGTCAGCATTGTGTTCCTATAGCCCTTATCAGTCTAACTGAAAACACCTGTCTATTGTTCCCATCATGAACACCCAGGAGAGGTCATGGCTTTCATTGCCTTGCACTCCCCACCCTAGCACAGGGCTATTTTCCGGGGTTAAACAACCAATCAGGTTCTATCACAGCCCATATAAATCATGACATCCTTACAGTGGAAGAGGTCAGGGCCAGGAAGTGCTCAGGATGGTGTGAGGGGACCCATGGGGGTGTCTGAGAGGGGAAAGGGGCCAGGAAGGAGGTTGAGACACCAATCATACAAACTCCCTGGGCCCTGATTCTGGGAAGGGGCATGGTATCTGCAGGGAGTAATTACCAGGTCATGGTCCCTCTCATGAATGGATTTAATATATGTCCCTGTCCTCATGAAGCTTATGAATGGGATGACATATATATGAAAGACTGTGCAGAGAAAATGTACACTCCAGCAAAAGGACCTGGGTTTCAATCAGCCTGTATTTCCTGCTAAGTCCTGGGGTGAATCATGCAACTACACTGATGCAATGTTACCCAGCTCACTGATGCTACAGTATTCCCTGAAGACAGAAGGGATCATACTGTCATACTGACTTGTGATAGCTACCACAGTCCCTTGGTTAGTCTCAATGCTCCGTAACCATGGCCAAGAACTTTTTTTAAAAAGATAGCATACACTTTTAGTCCTAGAACTGAGGAGGCAGAGGCAGGTGGATCTCTGTGAGTTTAAGGCCAGCCTGATCTACAGATGGAGTTCTAAGACAGTACTAACTACATAGAGAAACACTGTAACACTATCTTTTTTGTTTGTTTGTTTGTTTTGTTTTGTTTTTCAAGACAGGATTTTTCTGTGTAGCCTTGGCTGTCCTGGAACTCACGCTGTAGACCAGGCTGGCCTTGAACTCACAGAGATCTGCCTGCCTCTGCTTCCTAAGTGCTGTAATTAAAGGCATGTGCCACCACTGTCCGGCAAGATACTGTCTTAAAAATGTTTTTTTAGTTTAGTACATGTGTATCTGTGTGTGACTGAATATATGCATGTGTACCAAGCCAGAATAAAATGTGAGCCTCTGGAACTAGAGTTACAGGTGGTTGTGAGCCACCACACGTTGGTGCTGGGAATCAAACTTGAGCCTCTGCAAAAACACTTTACACTCTTAACCACTGGGCTACCTCTCCAGCACCCCCAGACCAATGGCTTTTTAAAAGGCAGGGACTTAAGGGAACCCACTTGCTTGGAAATATCCAGAGTGATCCCCAAGCTGCTGTGCTGTCAGACACCCTGCAAGGTTCCAGGGTCAGGTTTGATGAGCCCTGTGGGGCATGTATACACTCAACAAGAAGGTTTTTATGCTAAAGAAGAGACAAGGGACCCCACCTCCCCTCTGCTAGTGGAGACCTAGATGCTGGTGGCAAAGTTAGAATGAGACAGATTCTAAGAGGCACCAGCACCCAATGTCTGAATCACTGTCAGCAGGTACAAGGTCATAGAACTGGTCCCTGGGCACTCTCCCAAGCCAGCTCTGTCGGTGCTGGGTGTGGATATTCTTTTGTTTATTTACCAACTTAGTGTGTGCATGAACAGGCACACAGAGGTCAGAGGACAGCTTCCAGGAATCAGTTCTGTCATTCCATCATGTGGGTTCCAAGTATCAAACTCAAGCTGTCAGGCTTGGCAGGCAAGTCATCTTGCCAGGCCTTCTGAGTGATTTTTAACCATCACCTTTCCCCTTGCCTCTCAGTTCCATGGCATCTTCTGTCCCATCCTCTATATCCCTCTGGACCACACCCTGGCACACCATACCCTAGGCTCTTTCCACAGTCTCCGCTCCTAGCACCATCTCCGCATCCAACCTTCCAAGCTCACACAGATAGTGGTCCTCACTGTGACCTTCAAGGTCTTGAGACCAGAGGCATTTCTACCACTCATCCCTGCCCACTCCTTCGTCCACATTCCCTGCCTTTCTTTCTTACGTTTTCCATGCAAGTTTTATCAAGTGTAGGGACCTGAGATGTGTCTGAATGAGACTACTTTTGAAAAATGAATTCTACATTGTGCTCATTTACCAGTCATTACCATGAAAAGCTGTTGCTGTCATTATTACTAATGTCAGCATTTTCAACGAGTGGAGCTGCAAAACCATTCTAACTCTTCCCGTGGAGTCACAGTGTCACATCCCCCACCCTGATTGGTCTGAACTCTCTGTGTAGACAAAGCTTGCAGAGATCCATTCATCTGGTTCTGTTTCAAAAGCCCCTCCACTCAACTCAGCCCTTTTAGAAAAAGGACCAAACGCTCCCACAGAGGAAGCAGCTAAGGGCTGGCATGGTAACCTGCAGAGTGAGTCCATGGCGAGCCTGCGCTGACACCTCCTCACATTCAGCCTCCATGGCGTGAACTCTTCTTCCAGCTCTCTGTTCTCACCTAAAAACTACAAGCTGGTCACATCCAGATCATTGTCTTCTGTCTATATGGACAGCCACACCTGCCTGTGTGTGTGAATGTGTCACTTGGGATGCCATGCCTACCTCCCCACTGGACCCTTGGCACTGCGAGGCTAAGTCTACCTCCCAGCCCCAAGCTCTCACCGCTCCTCTGTCTTCCAGCCACTTCTTCCGTTCATTCGCCCATCCTAGTCCCACCACCAGCGTTTTGTCTGGGATTAGTTCAAAAGTCCTTGCTCTTGGCTTTGTCTTGCCTGAGCCTCAGCGAGGGAGGAGAGTTTTTATTATGTAAGTCCGGTTATACCCACCCTCTGCTCAGAATCCTTTAATATGAGTAACAGATGCACATCTCAGAATAGACCCCTACGTCCTCCCTTTGAAGGCGTTTCTCCATCTCACCTGTTACCTTTGATGCTGTCTCCCACCACTCCTCCTTAGGCTCCAGCCACGCCATGCCTGTCTCAGGACCTTTGTACAGACAGCTGCCTGCAGGTGCTCACTCACTTCCTGCTAGTTTCTGTCCCCAAACACTTGCCATGAATGAGGTCTGAAAATCCCACGTGAATCACTCTCCTTGTTGATCCCTCCCCAAGTGGCATCACCATCACCTGCTCTCAGGGACTTTCTGATACATTCTTTCTCTGTTTCTCATCCAACATAGAAACGCAAACCCAGACAGGCAAAAATCTCCTTTGTCCCCTCCACATCTATGAAAACATCTATGAAAACATAGATTCTCCTGAAGCATCTTGGGGTAATAATAAGAATTTAAGTCAACTTCCCTTCACTGGAGCTTCAAAGGGTAGTTGAAAAGTTACATGAAGAGAAATGAAGACAACCAGATGTTGGTGGCGCATGCCTTTAATCCCAGCACTCAAGAGGCAGAGGCAAGTGGGTTTCTGTGAGTTCAAGGCCAGCCTGGTCTACAGGGTGAATTCCAGGACAGTCAGGGCCACACGGAGAAATTTTATCTCAAAGAACAAGACAGAGAGAGAGAGAGAGAGAGAGAAAGAGAGAGAGAGAGAGAGAGAGAGAAGGATAAGCAGCCATAAATAAAGGTAAATCTATGCAAGCTGACCCAAGGCAAGGGCAGGATCTACTGTTAAGTGCAAGGCAAGCTGCAGAAATCCATCAGGTGAACATGAGTCCTCTTGGCTTTATATGTGTCACATAGACAAACACATCAAAGCATTCCTTGTGCTTAGTCCCTGTTGAGCAGTGGGGATATAAAAGATTAAGGAGGAGAATATTCAGTTTTTACATTGTGTTTATGGACTGTTCATGCATTTTATATCATGCACATGTTATTTTTATATATCTAACAAATGACAAAAATACCCTTCACAGAATGCCAGATGGAGGAAGGGATGAGGAGAGCTGAGGCGCAGCACCCTGCCACCCACACTCACACCCTCTGCCCCTCATGCAGACGCCCCCCCACCCCCACCCGGGCTGCCAGTCTTTCTGCTCAGCAGCTGGAAGTAAGAACAAACATCTACTTTCCCTCACGCTCCAAAGTCACCACGCCCAAAGGGCAGAACCCCAGAGGGCCCACCCAAGACCTCCCAAGGGGCTGGACAGACAGAGGTCACCTGACTGGGGGGGGCAGAACTGTGTTGGTGGTCAGTTGCATCCTCAAGGGAGGCACAGCAATAGCTATAGAGACCAGAGGCGTCTAATTAGGAGCTGTACTAACTTCTGTCATGTGGACACAGCTGTGCCCTGGTGGCAGGGGCACTGCCCTTTGCCAAAGAAAATCTGGCAACTCTACTGTTTCCTGGCTGAGGACTTGGGGCCTTTAGCTAGGCTTCTTTAAACCTCCAGATATTTGTCTACAGATTGGACGGGGTCTCAGTGGCTGCACTGGAGACATGGGGGGGGGGGCTGAGTGAGGTACAGTGTAGCCAGCTGTGAAGAGCCCCCTCACACATGGTGGTGCTCTCCGGAAGAACCATTTTGGGGAGGAGCTGCATGAGGCCAGTAGCCACATCACCCCTTAGACCACTCACTGGCCTCAAGGTGGCCTCCCCCACAATCTCAGACGCGTCACTGAATTCCTCGGTGCAGTTTTCCTTATCTGTGAGTGGGTAACAGTGCCTCACAGGGCTTAGGGGAAATGAGATGAGTAAAGCTTACATCACCATCTGGAGCAAGGCAGGCAGACAGTAAGCCTGAACTTCACTTTTAGAATCCAGTTTACTCAAGTCTTAGCAGTGCTGGGGGATGACTGAGTCCTGAGCCCTGCACATGCTAGGCCAGCGTCCTATCACTGGCAGCACACTGTTAGCCCTTCTTGCAGGATGTGCTACTTTTTTTTTTTTTTTTTTTTTTTTTTTTTTTTTAAATCTTGAGACAAGGTCTCATCAAGTTACCCAGGCACTCCTTGAATGTAAAAGCTTCCCGGCTATGATTTCCAGGAGGCGGGATGCTAGTCCCGCGCCACCACTCAAGCTGTTTAAAACATTCTGAAACACGTAGTGTTCAGATCAGAACCCTGGAAGGGGAGACAAGTAGGGCATCTGGGGGACAGGCTAGCACTTACCCATCAAACCTCAAGCTCTTTCTGGATATGAGTTCCTTCAATCCTCACGTAAACCCACAAATCACCGGGCCCATTTTGCAGATAGGAAAACAAAGACACAGATTGCTTCATTACCTGGGAAACGCTGCCAAGTTCCAAGGCCACGTGCTAAGTACATGAGTGTTGATAAGCACTTGGGCCATCATAAGGCTTTGAAAGTTTTTGTTTTGTTTTTGAAGAAGGGTTTCTCTGTGTAACAGCTCTGGCTGTCCTGGAACTCGCTCTGTAGACCAGTGACCTCAAACTCACCGAGATCCACCTGCCTCTGCCTCCCGAGTGTTGGGATTAAAGGCGTGCGCCACCACTACCCAGCTCCTGAAGCAACTCTTTCATGAAGGTGACATACCCTTGACATGCCAAGATGGGCCTATCATCCACACTTACGGCCATGAGCTAAGTGCTGGAGTAGAGAGCGGACGGAAAACAACTTCCCAGCAGCCAGAAGTGATGCAAAGTCCATCTGGTCACACGGGTGGCTTTAGTTAAGGGTCACTGTTGAAAGGACACTTTGGAGTCACACAGTTTAGAACTCCCCGGCCACATTTACGTGCAAGCACCGTGAGCCTCAATTCCCTCACCTACACAGTAGAGGTGACAGTGACAAGCTTGAAGATGGCTATGGGCATCAAGAGACTATATATGTCATATGCCTGCTTCATTGCTTGGTATAAAATTTGCTGTTCTAACAACAAATCCAGGGTGCAAGGACACAATTGTTGAAAGATTTTAGTTTGCAGAGCAAGGATGTAGGAAAGGGGCAGGAGAATAATTCTTGCAAGCAGAATATAGAAAATCTTAAAGCATAGACATTGACATGGGAGGAGAGAACAGAAATTATGAAAACAAGAACGTTACTATGGTGAGGGGGCTAGTGGTCATGCTAGGCTGATTCTGCTACATAGGGCTAGTAACTGAATCATCAATCTCTTGTGAAATAACTGAAGCCTCTCACAGGTCTTGGCCCACAACAAGGAAATAGACCCCCCCTCAACCCTGGAACAAATGATTCCAGATGAACAGCCTTGTTTGGGTCACTCCTGGCCAACGGACAGTCTGGGGACTTTCCAAGTCATTTTATGGTTTATCCTTTGAGTAAGAACAGGTCACACCTGGGTGATCTCTCAAACATGAGATCATACTTTGTAATCAATCACCTTGTGCCCCATGCATGTATGCTGATTGCGGTCTTTCTCTATAAAAAGAGAGCCTGAACCCTTTGAGGGTGTGCAGCTTTCCCCGAGATTGCTGTCACCCGAGTGCACTTGTTCAATAAACACCTCTTGCTTGTTGCATCTCCTGGTTTTGGTGTTTGTGTCACGGGGCTCTCCCATCGGCCCATCAGGACCCCAGAATTAGGGTCCAACATTGTAAAGTGAGATACAGAGTAAAAATAACAGAAAATGGCCATTATTATGAAAGTACCAGCCTCCAGAGGGCCTTTCAAGGTTTATGTTCCAAATGTGCCATCTTATCTTTTGGTTTTCAGACAAGGTTTTACAATGTAGTCCTGGCTGTCCGAAACTCACTGCAGAAATCCCAGTGCTAGGATTAAAGGCGTGCACCACAGAGCTAGGCTGGATTCACCATTTTTAATTGATACATTTCTACAACCATGCAGTGATACATTTATAATTTTTATCTTGAATCTACTTCTTGCCCTGGAACTCTGAGCAGGGTTCTAAAAGGTGATGAAGGTCTTTGGGAAATTATGGAGGGCTTACGGCTCAGGGAGGCTCCTAAACCAGGGCCCTGTGACCACTTGAGAGACTAGAGCCAGCCTATGCAGTCAGAAACTACTGAGGAGAAGATCGACCCAGGCCCCCTGGCCTCACTCCTGATGACTGTGTCACACTCCTGACCAGGAAAGCAAGCCCTGCTCCACTCTGACTGCTCCTCAAGGACTGGGCTCATTTGAGCATCTCCACATCCCTGCACTAGGCAGGCTTACAGGTTTGCTGAAGTACGCCAGAACAATTGTTGAAATGCTGCAACAGGGCCCAGAATACAGCCATATAATCACAGACTAATGTATCCAAATCCAGCTTCTATGTTACCTTGGACCAAGTTCTAACTTTTTAAGGTTCACATTCTCATAAGCAAAACAGGGACCATGTCAGTACCAAGACAATAATGATGTCATGCTAATTAAAAGGCACAATCCAGGTTGGGGATTACAGCTCAGTAAAGCCTTTGCCTAGCTAACCCTGGGTTTGATTTCCATCACACACACACACACACACACACACACACACACACACACACACACACACACACACGAAGATAACGCAGAATTCACTGAACACATGCTCAACTAATCATAAGCTCCATAACTATTAGCTATTGCTATTATTACTATTATTCATACTTGTGGATGAGATTTCCGCAGACTGGAGTAGTAGAGACTCTTGGGAAAGCAGTCAGGGCTCAGCCTATTGAAAATAGCAGAAAGGCTTGCAATTTTGATATTTGGAATGAGAAGAACGAGGAACAAGATTGCTTTTGAGGGAAGATGGCAGAACGCCAACTAAGGGAGAAATAACAGAATTACCAAATTCTCAATAACAGTCTGTCACATGAAAGAATGATCTTCAAACTGCAAAATAAAATACGCATCGTCTGGAAAGCCGCTGCCCAGTCAGACAGAAAGGAGAGTAAGGAGCTCCTAACCAAGTTGACACTCACTTGCTGGGCTTCACAAATGACATCAGAGGACAGTCAAATAGCTTGCAGATGTGATCAGCGAGTGCAATCTCAACAGCTTACAGCAAAAGCTTTCTCAAGTTTCAAGGGTGCATGTGTGTGTCCGCATGCATGTGCCTACTGAAAGGGGGTTAGGAGCAGATTCTGGGAACTGCAGCCCATGGAGCTGAACGTCAATCCATAATTAAAATGACAGTCTGCGGCTACTTTGGAAAATAGTGCTTGGGGATGTGTGGGGGTGGGGTGGGGAGGGCAGGGCATGGGGCACTGAAAAGTGGCCCATGCTGAGTACACTTCTCTTCCTTTCTAAAGGGGCTTGTCTCAACTCTTGGGACAGTGGGTGTGATTTGGTAATGCATTCTAGCTCTGTATGTATCACTGCCCAATAGGTTCCTATGTGGGGGAAGACAACAGAGGTTTCTGAGGAGTGTGCCTGTGGCTGGAGGATAATATCAAAACTGGTGGAAATCTGTAACTTAGCTGGTGGATGGCAGTTCGGAGGGAGATCTTAGACCCACTTTGGCCTGTTTCTTGCTATTCTGATTAAAGCTCAGGACAGTCGCAGAGGGCATACCTATCCAATGGGCAATGGCAGAGGCACTAGGCTACTAGTGTCCTGCTGGATAGTGAAACTCTTGACTCTAAACCCTCTTGCACAAGGTGCTGGGAAGGCTCCATGAAAACAACAATAACACCAAATAAAACACCACGTTCCAATTATGGAAAAGAATGTAGCAGCTCACTCTTGGGAACAATAAAAATATGAAGGACACAAAAGGTCCAGGGTTGGCTGAGAAATCAAGAGTCCATGTGACAAGCCCATGTGTGGGTCTAAGAAGTCAGAAGAGAGGCTAAAGATGTGTCTCTCTGCTCTTGCAGAGGGCCCAAGTTTGGTTCCCAGCACCCTTATTAGACAGCTTACAACTGCTTGTACGTCAGCTCCAGGAGTATCAGACTCTTCTGGCCTCCTTGGGCACGTGCACTTACATGCACACACCCCATACACATAATATAATTTAACAGCAAGGAAGGGAAGTGGCCTTCCTGAGTTGGGAGGCTGGCTGGGAAACAGGAGGCAGATTCCAAGGAACTGCTATTGAGAATCCCTGAGGGTTTTCAGGGCCAGAACCTCCCCCCTTTCTCCAAGAGACTTTGTAGCATTAAGAGTGGGCAAGAGAACAGAACAGAATAGTAAGGGAAGTCCCAGGTTCTTGTCACCTCAGCTATTCTAACAAGGCTAATCAATCACGCAATGGGAGAGTGCACTGGGCAAACTCTTGGGCCCCTCATGCGCTTGGTTCTGTGCTGCTCACATGTATGAGCAGCAGGCAGAGCAGGACCTGAGGGTCCCAGGCCCCAGGGGTGGAAGGACAACCATGACCAGAAGCATCTTGCTGGAGGCATCTGCCTTGCTCTCCACTGTTCTCAGGACCACAGCCTGTGAGAATTGAGAAGGGCCCTTTGGGAATCCCTGACTCAAGCTCTGATGATAGAGAGGAGAGAGCCAATAGCTGGGGCTGAATGGTCCACCCAAGGCCACCCAGGACATCCCAGAAAAGGCCTGGACTGAACCTAGCCCTAGGAACAGTTCATATCTTACCCTGCCCTTATAAACTGTATGGCCTGGCAAGATACTTAATTAATATTCCTATGATCTAGTTTCCTCCTCTATAGCACTAAGACTCAGGGCAGCCATAAAAATTAAAAGAGGAGTCATGTGATAAGCACTTTAAAAAACACTCAAGAAGAGCTAGACAGTCACAACAGCAGTACATGGCAGCTGTACATAGCAACACTATCCAGATTAACTGATGTGTCGCTCGCTCATCAGGGAGGAGGGGGACAGAGCGAGGCTAGAACTGGTAGGAGCCCTCCTCGTGGCATACTTAAGGCATTCATGCTGACGACCAGGTAGGCCACCCTTGTGTCAGAAGTCCCTGGGCTGAGGCTCCTGGAGGAAGGGCTCTCCCACTTCCAGGGTCAGGAGAGGAAGGAAGACTCAGACAGGTGGTCGATCACAGTTACCTTCTCCCCAGGCGTGACTGAGATGCGCCATACACAGTGCATGTGGGCAGAGTAGCCGTTGGGGAACTCGGGTGAGGAGAAGTTGCCATTGCTGTCTTGAAGGGTCTCGCCACAGGCTGTCAAGGCAAAAAAGTAACTAGGCTACTGACTGCAGGCACCAGAAACCCCCTCCCCACCGTCTCTGGCTCACCCCTGAGCGCTAGAACCCATTAGGGAGACAAGAGAGGTTTCTGAAGAGAGGGTTTCTGTCCCTTTAAGATGTACCCCCCCCTCCTTACGTATATGCAGAAACCATCCTACTTCCCTGGTCTAGTGCTGCCAGGGTAACCAGATGCCCTGTTGTCAAGGCAACATGAATTCCAGAGTTCAGGTCAAGCTCTTTCAGTGGGCCTCACCTCCACCTCACTGCCCATGAGACAGGCTAGTTGCTGCCTCTTTCTGCCTCTACTTACCCTCACCCTTCTCGGCCCTCCCTACCACCTACCAGCATAGCCCCTGTTTGGTCCTTAACTGGAACACTGTTCTTCCTTGCCACCACCCGTCTCTGAGACTTACAGCTGTGACTTTCTAGGTGGTCCTGGGCCCCTGCCTCTGCCTTCCTTGGACTCTACCTGCCATCCCTCCTGGTCTGTCCCTTTCCTGCTCTAACCTGGGCATTTGTAGAGCTTCCGGGCCTGAGCGATGTCGCCCTTGCTGAGTCTGGTCCTTTGGCCGATGGAAGGCTTCACCCCATTCACCTCATACTTAGGAACAATGGTGTCCAGGAAGATGCCCCTGAGGAGGATATGAAGAGACTGAGGACATGAGTCTTCTGGAAGGTGGATGAAGAAGGGAAGCTTGCTCATCTACAACCACGGGGCATGACATTGCCAGGGCCCAGACATTCCTCAGTAGGGTCAGGGAAGGGTGGAGATGTCTCACCCTGTCATTAAGCTGCCCACTGACCAGCAGCCACCCTCTTCCGTGGCAGCTACACCACAGGGGCTGGTGTTGGGAGCCCCAGAAATGCTTTGAGGATCAGGGGCCCAGGCCCTTGATGTTCAGATTGGCTTCAAATCCTAGCCCTGGGAGAGCTTTGGGCCCTTATTTGTCATCTCTGCAATGCCACCCAGCTCCTACCTCCAGACCTCAAATGATGATTCATTCCCAATCAACTTCTCTCTGGACTTCCCTGGGTCAACTCCTTATTCTCTAACATGACTGTGATTAGAGCAAGGCCGACAGTGGCCAGCCAGTTCTTAGAGCACAGAGTTCCTATGTCCCAATTCCTTCCTGCTAAAGTCTGTATATCCACAGGGGAGGAGCAGAACTAAGAGGAGACAGCAGTTCGCAACATCCCTAGGGTCCCTGACTCACATCCAGCTGGGCAGGGCCCAGCAGGGGGTGTGGGTATGATGGGAACTGCCAGGAGGGTCTGTGGGGGTGGAGGGCTGAATGAGTTCACTCTCTTCCTTGGTCTCCCTTCTCTGGTCTCCATTCCCAGGTCCAGAGCAGGAAGAATGGGTCCAAAGGGTCTTAGAGAAGAAGGGGGTGAGGGCCACCACTTGGATAGGGACAGTACAGGAAGGGCAGTCGAGGGAGGAGTTTGAGAATGGGGTACTTCCCCCAATGCTGTAGGAGGATCTCCTCACATGAGGCTCTGGTTAAGGAGGTACCTTGTGAACTGACGATAGGGACCAGTCCAGGGTAAAGGCCAAGTTTTGTTCTAGTTAGCCATTCTCAAAGCAGACAAAGCCAGCCCTGGTCTATAACGGGCTACTTGCGAGGTTGAGGTAAGACACTCAAAAGGCAAGACAACCTGTCTGCAAGGTATCAAGACAGCTCAGTGAGTAGATGCATGCCACCGTATCTGCTAAACAGAGTTCGATCCCCAGAACCCACATTGTGGAAGGAGAGAAACACCTCCTGCAAGTTATCCTCTGACCTCCAGGCAATGCCTTTAACCTAGCACTCAGGAGGCAGAGGCAGTTGGATCTCTTTGAGTTTGAGGCCATCCTGGTCTACAGAGCTAGTTCCAGGACAGAGAAACCTTGTCCTCTGACCTCCACAAGATGCTCACATATGCATACAAATTAATAGATGTAAGGAAAAAAAAAAAGAATTCTAAGTTCAAACTCTGCCTGGGTTACATAGTAAATTCAAGATCAGTCTGGGTAATTTGGTGAGATCCTCTCTCAAAAATAAAAATTAGGGGCTGGAGAGATGGCTCAGTAATCACTGGCTGCTTTTCCAGAGGACCTGGATTCAATTCCCTGCACCCACATGGTATCTCACAACTGTCTGTAACGCCAGTTCCAGAGAATGTGATAGATACACATGCTGGCAAAACACCAATGCACATAGAACAAAAACAAAATCATTAATAAGTAAAAACAGGACTGGAGATGTAAGCCAGAGCTACACTACTTGCCTAGTGCCTGGGTTCATTTCCAAGTACTGCAAAACAAACAAACAAACAAACAAACAAAGATGGGGAGGGGCAGACTAGGAACTAGAAAGAGGTGCTCTCCGTCGGAATCACAGGAAAAACAAACGTACCCTGGTGGCAGATGAGAGAGAAGCTCAGCCTTGCTTCACACAGTAATGCGCAAAGACTAGGCCTGCCAGCTTGGCACTAATGGGAGAGGCTACTAAGGCATAGCCACAAACCCTTTGTTTAAGGGCTGCAGGCACCCAGAGGACTACCTTTAGTGCCTGCTGGGGCACAGCAGGACAGAGAGACTGGGAAAGCAGCAAGGGAATGGCTTCCAGAAGGCAGGCTTGGGCTATTCTGGGCAAGGGCCAGACCATTTCTCACCTGGAGAACGTGTTCCGAGCATAGTGCATGATGCTGTCAAAGTCATAGGTCTCTCCCAGAGACTCTACCTCCTGAACCTCCATCTTCAGGAAGTTATACTCCTGCCCTGCAAATAACGTGAGGAAAATGGGGAAGGGGTCGAGGGAGTGGCCTGTGTCCTCCCAGCACCTGTGAGGGGCTGAAGGTGTAAGGGATGCAGAAGGGAAAGGGGACAGGGACATCTATAGAGCAGTCCTTCCCAGCAGAACAGACTGGAGAACTTGCTGAAAGGGAGGGTCAGGAGACCACAGACAAGAAGGAAGGACAGAGTGAAGAAGAGAGCTAGCGAAAGACAGGAGATGGAGGATAGGCAAAGAGATAAGCCTGTAGGAATATCCAGGGACAAGCTAGCTGCAGCTCAACTTTCTCATCAAGAAAGCTGACTTCTGGCTACTCAGCCTGACCCCTATGTCCAGGACCTATGCCAGACCCCCATGCAGCTCCATAAGCCCTAGGATGGGATGCAGCCCCTGGGGTGTGTGTACCTGGCTGTATGTTCTCGCGTACAATAGAGACATGGCGGTCCCGGTCGGGCCGCGTGTGCTCGTGCCAGAAGCCAATGACATGGCCCAGCTCATGGACCACGATGCCAAACTTGTCACAGTTCTTGCCGATGGAGATGGCCTGGGGGCCCCCACCACGGCGACCCACGTAGGAGCAGCACCTGGAGGGCGGGGCCAGCTCAGGGGGGTGGTCCCGAGCTGGGGGAGTGCATCCACTCAGGGGCCGGGCCAGGCTGCCAGGAGGTGTGCAGGGGTGCAGGGGGGTGGGGATGACCCTGAGCACCCAATGCGCAGGCTGTATGCCAGGGTCAGAGCCGTATCAATGGGTGATACCCATAGCAGGGAGAGGGCATGTACAGGCCAAGTTGAGGGCGGCAGGAATGCCTAGGGCAGAACCTGACTGGGGATCACCACCAAGGGTATAGTGCCCAGGGGTTCCTGCTCACCCGCAGGGTCGATAGGTGAATACAATATAGCTGTCCTCATCGGTGCGCTCCAAGAAGGTGACACAGGTATGTTTCTCCCAGTGTCTCATGGCCTGCCGGAAGACTGCCCTCTGGCTGCCTGTGGAAGGATAAATCCAGGCTGTCACAGGGGTTAGGAGGCGCTTCCACCCACTGATACAGTGTTACAATCTGCAGGCTCACTGCCTGGCCAGGAGGCTGTGGACCAGCCAAAGGTAATAAGCCCAAGGCCAGGTGCAGGCCCATTCACAGCCGCACACTCACCAGTGAAGTTCCCTCCAATAACAAAGGGGATGACCCCATCGGGCCACACTCGCTCAGGCCTCGATGTTGCTGCCCGCCTGCTCCGCGGTCTGCCTCTCCATCTGCCCCTGGTTTCCCTCTGTGGCTGCCCACTGGTGCTCTGGCCACCCAGGGCAGAAGAGTTTCCTGGAATTGAAGGAGGAAAAGAGGTCAGTAGTAGCAAGTGAGAGGCCATGTAAGAGAGGGAGATGCAGAAAAATTAAACTCAGTAGTTGTAGATTCTGGATTTACAAGTCCGACTTTGCTGGAAATTTATTTGCAACTCAATACTGTCAGGCTTTCATGATCATTCATGGACATGCACAGGGCAGAAAAAAAAAACAAAAAACAAAAAACAAAAAACAAAAAAATGTTGAGTGGTCCAATGTATGCACATTCCCAGCCAAGGTCAAACAAGGTAGTCTGTCTGCCTATTTCACTTCTAACACTATAAACAAGTGTCCTTTTTTAGAGAAACTGGGTGCCACTTTTAAGTTTTTTTTATTTTTTTTTTAACTTGGCTGTTTAAAATGGTTCCTAAGCAAAGTGCGCATGTGCAGTCTTGTGTTCCCAAAGCAAGAAAGCTGGGCTACGAGCCCAGCCTGGTGATACAAACCTGTCATCCAGCTGCTGAGGAAGCTGAGGCAGGACCGTTTTGAGTTCAAGGTCAGCTCAAGCTCTACTGTGAGTTTAATGCCAGCCAGGCAACTAAGAGAAACCCTATCTAAAAATGGAGCTAGACAGTTGGGTGTTGGTGGCACATATTTTTAATCCCAGCACTTGGGAGATGGAGGCAGTCAGATCTCTTGAGTTCAAGGCCAGCCTGGTCTACAGAGAGTTCCAGGACAGCCAGGGAAATGCAGAGAAACCCTGTCACCCTGTCTTAAAAACCAAAAAACCAAACCAAAACAAAACAAAACAAAACATGGAGCCAGGCAGGTGCCTCAGTGGTAAAATGCTCGCCTGGCATGCATGAGGCCCCACATAATCTCCATTTTCACACATGAATACAAAAACAAAAGCTGGGATGTATCCTACCAAGAAATGCCCGCATTCAATAAATATGCTCTGGCTGAAGTCAAGGCTGTTAGCCATGAGTTCAGTGTTAATGAACTAACTCTATATTAAGCACACATAAAATGTGGTCATACAATGATCAGTTTACAAAACTGTAACCAAAGGCTGGTGGGAACCTGCATTTCTCCTAGGAGCAATGACTCAGTATTTGCTAATTCATTCTTCATGGTGACTATGTAAAATAACTATAAAGTTCTATAATAGCTGTGGAGTTGTGCTCTAAGTGGCTGGAACTGCCACGGATAGCAAGAATAGGCTAGGACTCCAAACTAAGACAACGGGGTACTTGGTTCACAAGAACTGTGAGGACTCAAGGGATCCAAGGTTTGGAAAATGTCCCCTTTTGTCTAAGAAGCCTCGATACCAGGGAAGAATACAGAGCTATGTGCTTTCTCAGGGCTTTGGGACCCACATTCCCATGAGACACAGCAGTTCTATAGCATTGGGGCAAGTGTCACTGCCTGTATCTGAATCAAGACAAGACTAAGGCCAAGGTTGTGCCCCAATTCACCTAGTGGGCTGACAGCAGACCCCGGTAAAGTTTTCCCTTGTGCTAACCCCACTAGTCTCCACTGAGGTCCTGAAAACTTCTGTTGTCACTGAGGCATCAGAATAACCCTGGATGCCAACTGCCTTCTTGGATAGTTGGTTTATAGCCCCCACTTTTCTCACACCAGGATCATGCCCCCTGCTGAGCAGGGAAGATGACTGGACACGCCCAAGTATGTCCCTCACTTACGCAATAGCGAGCTCCATGCAGGTTTTCTGAATCACCGTCCAGTGCCATCTGATCTTAGATTGTCCCTCAGCACCACAGCCGGAAGGCTTGGCAAAGACAATTCAGCCATTCTCCTCCCCCATCACCAATGCCACATAGGTTGGTAGGTGCTTGGGACCAGGAGACCCAGGAGAGACTGTGGTATTGGGTTCAGCATGATGGACTGGGAGACAATGGCACAAAACCTAGTTCCAGTCCTGTCACCTACACACTGGGCAAATCACTTGGCCTTTGTGAGACTTAGGCTTGGCTTCTGGAAAACGTGTGGTTCTGACACCCCTGGTTGAATTTTTTTTTTCTTGGTCAACTTCACACAAGCTAGGGTCATCTGGGAAGAGGAACTATTAATTGAGAAAATGTCTTAATAAGGCTGGCCTGTAAGCAAGACTGTGGGGTGTTGTCTCGATGAATGATTGATGTGGGAGGGCCTGGCTGACCATGGTGGTGCTACTCACAGGCAAGTTGTCTTGGGGTGTACATGAAAGCAAAGTGACAAAGGAGGGTCAAGCCAGTAAGCAGCACCCTCCACGGCCCCTGCTTTAGTTCCTGCCTTGAGTTCCTGTCCTGGCTTCCCTCAGTGATGGAATCTGCCTTAGCATTACAAACAGTTGGCTTTCCTGGTGGTGTTCTATCATGGCAATATAAATAAACCCTAGCTAAGACACTCTTGAAGGTGGCTGGAGACAGGCAAGAAGGGATAATACTTTTGAAAGCACTTTGTAAGTTGTATGCTAGAAAAATACTGGCTTTTAGTTCCCACGGGTGTCAACATTTACTTCTCCTCTAAGGAAAGGATAAAGATATCCCAAAGGAAGACAGTCCCTCTGCTGGGTTCAAGTTCATGGCCTCTGTCCTGGGAAGGCCTGGCTGGAAATGGGGGCGGGGGCAGAAATCCTTGTTCCCCAAATCTGAAACACTTTTCTAGGACACAGAGAGCCAGCCTGTGCCTGGTGTACCTGCAGCTTTGATGGATGACCGAGCTGTTTGCTGTCTGAGAGCTGTGGCCTGCTGCACCCGGAAGGCCCTCAGGTCCTCTTCATCCAGGGCAATGTCCCCAAGAAAGGCGGCTGGAGAAAAAAGAAAGCGGCCAGAGGCTGAGTCAATCCTCTTACCAGTGATCCTTCTCCTCCTCGGTCTTTCTCAGGTGGCACCTGAGGATCAGAGGGATCAGGAATCCACTGTGACAGGGCTCTGAGCACAATGAGCATAAGAGGAGAATGACAGACAGGTCAGCTTCTAGAATCTCTTTAGAGAATATACTTGCTTTTTACTTCAAATCCCAACAAGAATGAAGTGTGATAACACATGCTTATAGCCACAGCTATTCCGGTGGCTGAGGCAGAAGGATCACTGGGGTTTGCAGACTAGACTTAAATAATGAAATGGTGCCAGGTGGTGATGGCGCATGCCCTTGATCCCAGCACTTGGGAGACAGAGGTAGGCTCCAAAGCTACAGAGAAACCCTGTCTCAAACAAACAAATAGTGAAATGGCTCAGTGAGTAAAGAGCTTGCTGAGGAAGGAGAGAACCAGCTCCTACAAACTGTCCACTGGTCTACACACACACACACACACACACACACACACAGGAGAGAGAGAGAGAGAGAGAGAAGAGAGAGAGAGAGGAGAGAAGAGAGAGAGGGTAAATAAAACAAATAGTCCCATGAAGACACAATGTGTCACTCTTCCCATTATCTTCAGATCTTCAACAAATAATTATTACCCACGATGGCCAGACATTAAGTCAGAGAATAGCAAGGCAAAAGAGGCCCAGGGCCTACAGAACTAACCCTTACAACACAAAGTTCACACAAATACTGACTCAGAGAAGTCCACAGAGACATGTGCTCTGATGACAGGACACGTTGCAGAAAAGATGCACTAGTGTCTAAAAGCCCTCATGTTAAAGGCTTGGTCCCCAAAGTGGTGCTACTGGGGGCTCTGTGTACCCTTAGAAAGCGGGGCCTTAGAGGTGCTTATGTCACTGTGTGTGTGCCCTTGAAGGGGATCATGGGATCTGATCCTTTCCTCATCTTCTCTTTGCCTCCTGCCAGGTTAGATGAGCCATTTTACTCTTCCAAGTGTTCCCACTACAATCTGCTACCTCCAAGAGGCTCCAGAACCAAGTCTCCACCATCTCGAACCAGAAACTCCGGAACCATAAGCCGAAATAAACTTTTTTTCTAAGTCAGTCCTCACTCAGAGCTGCTTGGTTACAGTATCGGAAAGTTGACTGGAACTCTAAGGTGCTTGGTTACAGTATCAGAAAGTTGCCTAACTAGCACTCTCAGGTGAGTGGTTACAGTATCCGAAAGTTGCCTAACTAGCAGTCATTTGTAAGCCTACATTCTGTGCTGTGGATGTGATGTCAAATAGTAAATGCCATTTCAGCCAAATCGGGGAGGACATGAAGTACTGTAAGATGTCTACTATGCTTACTTAATCTGACAAGACAGTAGGCAAATCTGGGAGGTCAAAACTTATACCAGAAGGCTCCCAGCTAACAGGGAAAGGTGTAACAGTTCTCAAATCCTAAGTTTCTGGGTCCTCCCTCTGGGGTTGGAAGGGCCCAGGGGTAGGACAATCTCCCAAGAGATCATTTCCATTTCTGGACCTGGGAAGAGAAGCCTCTGGAGAGATGGGTTGAGCATCTTTCTGAGAAGTCTAGGGTAAGAGGAAGCAGAGGCAGAGTGTTGTCTGCTTTGGAAGGAGCCCAGATGTGAGCTTCACTCTGGGCTAGGCTGGACTAGGGGAGGTGGAAGGCCAAACTGGAGGTGTAAGCACAGCAGCTTCCCTGCAGCTGCCATGACATCTGCTTCTCATCCCCGCAGACTCAGCATTACACAAATTGTTTTAACCTTGAGGCCTTACACACAGGTTCCTCCTCCCCAGTTGGCCCCACTGGGTGGATACATATACATTTACTTAGTCACAGATGGCTAAAGTCCCTATGGGCATATGGTGACGTCCAAACGCATACTGTCTGTGCAGAGCCATTGAGGTCAGGGACTACACCCCTGCACATATAAGCAGCACCCAGAACTGGCCTTTGGGTAGAAAGAACACAATGACTGAATGAATGAATGAATGAATGAATGAAACTGGAATGATCGTGCCAGTTTTGTTTTGGTCTGTAAATAGGTGCCCAGAGACATATGCTCACTCAGACACAGATCACCTGCATGTGGGAGTGACCTTAGCAGTCATCAAGTCAATCTTCATTTAACAATTTAGGAAACTGAGGCCCAGAAGGAAACTGACTTTAGACTCTACTGTTAAGCCTCTGAAAAGCTTGCATTATACTCATACTTCACCATTCCCAGTCCAGTGGATTTACTTAACTTCATTACCTCTCAGGAACCCATATTGTAAATACGTATACACAAAAATAGACACTCAGACACACACATCCACACAGGCAAGAAAAAAAAATTGCACACAGTCACAGAGTTCTGGATACAAGCTCCAACACACACAAGCCAGTGGCAGTCTCTGAGAACTCATTAAGCCTGTAATAGTAGCAGTAATGACACTTTATGTAAATGTCTGTTGAAATTTACCCAGCGCTTTCCAGTTCACAAAGTGTTTGCTCATTAATGAGTCCATTTAATCCTGGCCCACCCACAACATGCCCAGTAAGCCATATGACACCCTAGGAGTGTCACATTACAAACATTTGGAGAAATAATCTCATAGCTAGACACCAGCCCTCTCCCTTGACTAGAGAGATGAGGGCCTTGGGGCCAAAGAGGGATATGACATGTCCAAGGTCACCAGCCTGTAACTAGTCAAGAGTCTCTTTTGCAAAGGGGCATGAGACAGGAGAGACTCCATAGAGGAGACGGTAGGTTCCTGTTTGACAACTCAGGAATGCCTTGCACATACATGGCCTCTCCAGGCTTCTATACCCACACCTATGGGCACCACCAGACACAGCTGTCCCTCAGTCTCCCTAGGGAGTCGATTCTAGGACCCCTACAGATACCAAAATCTTCAGAGGCTCAAGTCCACATATAAAATGGCACTGTGTTTGCATAGAGCATAACCATATCTTCATATGTTCACTCTCTCTCTCTTTTTTCTTCTTTTCTTTTTCTTTTTTGAGACAGAGTCTTGTGTAGCTCACCCTGGCTTCAAACTCCCTACATAGCCAAAGATGGCCAAGAAATTCTGATCTTCCTGTCTCTATTTCCCAAGTGCTAGGATTACAGGCACGAAACAACCTACCTGAGCTTGAACCCAGGACTTTGTGCATGCTAGGCAAGCCTTCTACCAACTGAGCATATCTTCACTCCACCTGTATACCTTATCTCTAGATGTTTTACAATACTTCATACAATGTAAATGTTAAGTAGTTATTATACTGTATTTTTTAGGGAATAATGAAAAAGTCTGCACACTATTTTCTCCTGAAATAATTTTGATCCATGGTTGGTGGAATCTGTGTGCAGAACCCCCAGACAAGAAGACAGCCCTACCCAGGGAGCTGAACTATCAGCAAAGAACGGTCTCCAGAGACAGAGATTGAAGTCTTTGAACCTCAATTTGGCTCTCACCAGCTGACATTCATGCAGACTCTCTGACACCTCAGTTTTCTCCTACAGAAAAAGTGGTACATGACAGAATACACCTAAGATTACTGCAAGGAATCGGGTGTGTAGATGAAGCATCTACAGCAAGCTTGGAGCATAGGAGACAACTGCTAACCAGCCAGTTCACTATGCTCACCACACCAACCCCAGCCCCAGAGAGTCAACGTCAGCTCCAACCCTTTCCCTAGACATACTCTCCCTTGCATTCATTCCCCATCTGGATGAATCTATGGGCAGAGAATTGTAGACCCACACTGGCCTGTGAGACCGGGGCAGAATAGGACCAGGGCAGGGCAAGGGGAAGGAGCAGGCCAAGCTACAGAGATCAGCTGGGTGCCCTGTGGTGGAGATGTCATGGCTGGAGAATGCGTGGGAACAGAATGGGGGCAGGGTGGGGTTGGAGAGGAGCCTATGGCCAGGAGCTGAGCTGACAGCTGGTCCATCTGGGATCCTAACCTTAGGAAGCTGGACAACCTAGATACAAGGGGGTTCAGGATGCTTTCCTGGTCCAAGGGAAGCCCCAGGGTCAAGGTCAGGGTCAAACTAGCAGCTGTTTTCAACACAGGATTGAAAGTTTTTGATTTGCTCTCGGGCTGTAAACTAGCCAGGAAGCACTTGAGTGTGTTCTGTAGCCAGGCCTACTGCTGGAGGGGAAAGATCACAGAGACACATCAATGTTCATGTGGACCTAGGGAGCGATCTTTGTCCCCTGGGTCAGCCTCTGAACTCCAAAGTCCCCTCCCCTTCGGCATGGGCAGGCCTCCCCTCCTCTGGGAGCCTGGTTGGTGTAATGGAGTGCCAAGGCCATGTATGCAGGACAGGCATGTATCCCCATCAATGAATGCAGACTTGTAGCCAAGGGAGGATGTGCTTATGTCCCCAGAATATACTAACAAACTTACACACACGGCTATTACACACCAGTGCACACTTGTTCCTGTGTTCATCCAACACACACAGGTGAAAAGACCTGCTATGAAGCAAAGACAAATGTGCACGACAGCCAGTCCCCTGTGCATGTTCCAGGGTGTTCTAACATATAAGAAAAGAGCAGCACACTGCATTTCACAGTCCACACTCCTCAAAGGAGAAGGGCTCCTAGGAATGGACAGAGGCATGCACATGCGTAGGGAGGAAGGGACCAACTGAGCCCCCAAACACCTCCTCAGGAGATGGCCTGCTCCCCCTCCTCACCACCAACACCAATGTTTTCCCCAAATCACTAGAGAAACAGAATTCATGAGTCCCTTCTTCCGCCAGCTGTGGTGGTGCACGCTTTAATCCCAGCACTCAGGAGGCAGAGACAGGTGGATCCCTGTGAGTTCCAGTCCAGCCTGGTCTACAAAGTAAATTCCAGGTCAGCCACAGCTTCACAGTGAGATCCTCAAAACAAGAGAAGGTATCTAACTGGTCTCTGTCCATTAGGGCCCATGGAGATGTGTTTTCCTCCATGCCTGGGGCACCTAAAAGTGAGGGTGACTCAGGCAGGGAACAGGGTCTTAAGTGGGTGGAGTGACTCACTCAGGGTGTCTGGAAGAGGGAATGTTGTCTGGTGAGAGATAACATCGTGTGCTTCCTCTGGACTCCACACCTGGGCCATAAGGCCCCTGGGGTAAGGGTGGTTATGAACTGTCCACCTCTCCTCTTGCAGACACTGGCTGCTGGCTGAGTTTTAAGTGTAAGCCATATGTGTCAGTGGCAAGACATCTGGGGTGGAGCCTCTAGCCTGGGAATCTCTGAAATCCTCTTTCATGGCTCAGCATTCAACATAGAAGAAACCAGGGTTTCCAGTAAATCCCCTCACAGCAGACTTGGTAGAATCAGCCTTAATTAAGCACACCAACAGACCAGGCTGGCTTCTGGCCCAAAAGTTCAGAACCTTCCCCAGGACATCAAGGGTCTTAATCTTTGTCTTTACTAACAGCAGCCGTAAATGGATATAGTGGCTCACTTCTGTGATGTTAGCATGTGGGAGGCTAAAGGCAGAGGATGACGAGTTCAAGGCCCATTTGGTGAGACCCTGTGGATAGAAGTTTAAAAAAAAATCTAGCTCAAATAGTAACTACAGAAATATTTTCAAATGATGAGGCCTGGCTATGTTTAAAATAAACAGAAAGATCCCGTTTAAGCTGGGAGAATCAAAGGGCTTTCATTGCTAATCCTCAGTGCTGGAAGAAAAGGGAAGAGGAGGGAGATGTGGTGGAGGAGGCAGGAGTGGTCCACCAGCTACTTCCAAAGGAAGTAGAGACAGGCACCTGCCACAGGCACCTCTGGCATCTGGTGCTCAGGGCTGGGGGCGGGGCGGGGGGCAAGAAGCAAAGTCAGGCAGAAAGGAGCAAGACAAAGAAGAGTGTTGGTGAGCCTGTAGTGGGGACAGCAGTCGAGGTTCAGCCAAGCCGTATGTGTATGTACACTAGTCCAGTTCCCTCCAGGGGTGGGCCACGGGGACTAGGCATCAGTCACACCCAAGAAGAAGGCCCGATCTGACCCTGAAGCTTGGCCTTCTCAGGCTTTAGGCCCTCTCAGCCACCTCAGGCCTGGCTGAGCTCCCCACCAGCCTCGCTTCACCCTGGTGAAGAGAGCATTCTCCACAGCCCTTGTTTGAAGCTCCAGCTCAGCCAGCCCCACCCTAGCATGAAATCTGAGACTGGGGATGGAGCCCTGAGCCTCTTGCCATTCCCAAAAATCACTCCCATTTTCAACATCAGCATGGCTTCGCACTCATTCTTGGAGGCTGTGCTCCTGTCCCACATCCTGCACAAAGCTTCCACTCTGTGAACTGTGCCAGGTCCCTGCCATCTCTTTGCTCTGCCCTCCACATCACCAGAACTGAAGAGATGACCAGGGACCCTAATTCTTCCTGGCTTATGCTGTGTAACTGTAGTGTGCTCTTGGGTCCTTGCTTAGATGGTGGGTGATCTCCTCAAGGACAGAGATCCGCCTGGCACCTCTCTGCACCTCCCACATCAAACCCAGGCTAGAGATATCAGGGAGTGTGCACTACCGAACGGATAAAAGACACAGAAGAGGACCAGGGAGATGTTAGCTTTTCCTAAAATCCAATTCTGTACTCTCTCAAAAGAAATGAGTCAAGAGACAGGGGCACAGAGCACAAGGGGTAAACATTTATTTAGTGCTTATTGTCTGCTAATAATAAAGTATCTGTATGTGTTCTCAGATGTAGACCTTACTCCAGCTCTGTGAAGGGATATATTGTCAGTCCTGCTTTACTAATGAGAAAACTGAAGCTCAGAGACTTTGCTTAGCTTTCCTGATGGCTAATGAGTCCTTCAGAGTCCATGCCTTGCTCAATCTTCCTCCTGCCAATCTACCACATACAATGAGATGGAGACAGCTAATGTCCTGGTTTGCCCATAGCCCATCAGGAGGAGGAGGAAAGGGTGAAGGGTTTGGTTTGCCTGCCCACACTAAAATGGTCCCTATCCACCCAAGGGTGGATGGAGCAAGGAGAGTGGATGGATCAAGCCCCCTGTGGTCAGAACTATAGCTGGCTGTCCCAAGACTCCATGTCCACTTCCTTTCCTTGTATCCCTGTCCCTAGCTCTAGCTGTTCACAGACAGACTGAAGTCAGAAGCAGGAAGTTGAGGAAAAGTTGTGACATCTTGTCCCAGTGTGTTCCAGGAAGCCTGTTTAAGGACATCACTTTGGCCAATGGCCTAAGTGCCTGATCATCTGGTCACTCCAGGGAGATCACAGCAGGAGGGTCCTGGTGGACAAAGATATCACACACACACACACACACACACACACACACACAAGCCCTGGCCTTGACTAATGAACCTCAGGTGTCTGTGGGATGGGAGACCTGAGGTAGAATATCCAATTTCTCTTTGTGTGGCTCATTTGCTATCCCAACTTGGCTCTGGTAGAGCTCTCCTGGCACACAGGGGCACAGGCAAATCCTCTCCCAGTCTGATTTCTCTGAATTTGACAGCTGTCTTTTGAGTGCCTGGAGAGCTGATGCATCTGGTTGGAGTCACAGGATTGCCCATGAAGGAATATCTCATGGAACCCCCTGAAAAACTTTCTCCTTCCATTGGGCTGAGTATCCGGGGAATCTATTCCTCTGGAGCTGCAGGCCTTCTGGGCATCAAACCAGACAGATGTGTAGCACTGTGGCAAACAGACAAGCGGGCAAACACCAATAACCCATAAAGCAGGAGGGATAGGGGAGAAGGGAAAAGTACACACGCACACTCACACACACTGCTCACTCACTCGCGGAGTTTGGCCAGTAAAGTTTCCCTGTGGAGAAAAAGCCTCCTTGCCAGCAGGATTCGCTAAGACCCAGAGAGATTTCCCCAGGAATCCTCTTCGAAGGCAAGCGGCAGCCGCAGCAGTTTCCACAAACAGCAGCAAAAACTTCAGTCCTAAAAGTCCCCCAAACTTCCCCCTCCCTTTCTCCCTCGGTCTTTTGTTCCCCCACTGCATTGCCAACCAAGCAGCTCCCAGCTTCCCACACTGGACTGTCCTCCCCCAACCCCAACCCCTGCCCGGCTCGCAACCTCGATCCCGGCCTGCTCACTCCCGGCTCCCGTGCGCCCCTGGTAGCCGAAGGTCGCTCACCCGCCTTGCAGGGGTCTTTGTAGTTGAGCAGCTCCGGGGCGTCCTCCTCGCCCAGGTCGTAGGTGTAGTCGGCCAAGTCCAGCGGCCGCCCGGCGCGCGGGAGCAGCAGCAGCAGTAGCAGCGGCAGCGGCAGCAGCGGCAGCGGCGGGCGGGCCACGCCGGGCATGCTGGCGGGCAGCGGTGGCGGTCGCGCCCGGACGCGGGAGCGGGGCGACGGGGAAGGGATCGCTAGAGGCGAAGGGGAGGTGCTCTCCCCCCGCGGCCACCTCTTCCCGTCCCGTTTCCTGTCTCCCGCCCCCCGCTCGGCCCGGCTCGCTCCGGCCCTGGGCTCCGGCGTCCCCTCGCCCTCGGTTCGGTCGCTCCCTTTCTTTTTTTTTTCCGCCGCCCTCCCACTCCCCCCCCCCCTTTTAGGGAAATGAGCTCGCTGGAGGGCGGGTTTTCGCCCAGCTCGGCCCCCCTCGGGGCCGGGACCGTGCTCGGCCGGGCCGGGAAGCGCGCCAGCCGGGCGGGGAGGGCGAGAGTAGCGCCGCCCGCCCCGGAGGGGGATCGGCTGCCTGGGGCCGGGGCCGGGGAGGGGGCGCGGGCCCGGGATGCCCAGAGGCACCGCTCCCGCGAAGGGCCCCCTAGTGGCCGCTGTCCCGCGCGGGGAGCAGTGCCTTAGGGCACGGGACACGCTGTCAGGTCCGTTCCTGCCTCTCAGTCCGTGAATCAGCGGCGGTTCTCTCAGCCTGAGACTCCAGTTTGTCTGTCTCAGACCTGCTCCTTTGCTTTTCGCTGTCTCTGTCTTACTGTCTCTCTGCCTGTCTCTGTCGCTGTCCTTCCCTGCTGACACGCCGCTGGAGGGCGCCTAACACCCGTGTGTGGCACCTAGGTCCCGTTCCCTATCCCCGCCTTTTGCCCTCTTCCCGACTACCTGGGGTAGGACCAAATCCCTATCACTCTTAGACAGAAAGGATGTGGCAGAGCTCCCCAACTCCCCCAAACCCTCTCGTTCCCAGGATGGCTCCCGCCAGGAGCGATACTGAAAATGTGGAAGAAAAGAAATACCACCCTTTGTTTTTCAATCAGGCTGCTTTATTGTTTTGTGGCAGGAGCCCCCTGGCCTGTAGGAGACCCCTCCTCTAAGAGCTTTTACCCTGTCCTGTCAGGTATGAACAGGAGCAGCATCCTGCTTGTCTGCAAGAGACCCTTTGCTGAGGGCCTCTCCTGTCCCAACGCGGTTACCACCGACCCTGTGAAGCAAAGAACTGATGTTTATCACGTGAAGGAGGGGGACTGCTTGATTCCAGTGTGGGCTGTGTCTGAGAGCCTGCCATCCTCTGACGTCCCCAGACCACTGACTTCAAGAGATCTCTAGTAGGTCCGCTGACAAAGCAGGCAGCCCCAGCCTTCCCAGTGTTGTGCAGGCACCCTGAAAGGTATCATTCCTCACCTGAGGGGGTCCTAGATATAGTATAGTGGTAGCTCTCCACACAAGGTGCTCACAGCAAGGCCTAGGAAAGCCAGGTCTCTCCCGGAAGACTCGGAACCAGTATCATGCCCTTCCTCCTGGCCCAGCTTAGAGGTGGGTGCTGAGGGCTTGACCTGGAAAGAGCAGCTATGTTCAGTCTCACCTGCAATCCTTATTGCTGGACACTAGGCTAGCCAGGCAAATTCTCCGAGGCTCAGTTTCCTCATCAATACAGAAGGTCTGGGCTGAAATCAAAAGCACGCAGGGCCAACAATGTAGCAGCAGGCCAGCTGACAGCTGGGGAAGGTGTGACACGGTGAGTGTACAGAAAACACATCTGGCCTAGGAGAATCAATACCATACCGATGGCACTAGCTATCATTTCAAATATTCCTCTCCCCAACCCTTGGAGGGAGACAGCTCACTCCCTTCACTCACACACCCACCTGGAAGTTCTGGAATTTTCTAGCAAAAGCCTCAAGACTGGGGATGCTCTCTGGAGCCATCTTCATGATGTAGCAGTAGGTTCCTGGGGCTGGCTTATAGGCAGTCAGGAGCTAGGCATGTAACACCGGCAGTCATTCAGCTGGTCCCTTGCCTTGCTCACTCCCCAACCCTGATTCTCAGCCAACTCCTTTAGATTGCCCATGGGAGACACATCTGAGTCAGCGATTCCAGCATCCAAGGGGAAGCAGCCAGGCACAGACTGGGGAAAGACCTTTGGAAAGAGATGGTACAGCTAGGCAGCTCCAGTAAAGTCATATTGGTCGCTCAGGCATACTCACCCGCTGGTAGTCATACACAACAATGCCAGTGGAACCAACAGAGAAAGTAGCAATGGTGTCCATGCGCTCACTGGGAGCTAGGTGTTTCTGAGTTTCCGGAGCTCCAATGCTCATCTCAAGGACCTAGGGAGAGGCTGTCAGAGTGCTGCCCGCCTTTGCTCTTTCTTCTCTCAACCTTTTGGTACTCATATCTACCCAGAGCCTCTATTCAAATACAGTTCCCTCTTTCCTGAGATCTCAGGAAGGCTAAACATCTCTGCTTGTATTATCCAAATACGCTCTTGTTTGCCCACTCCAGCAAACTTCCTCTGTGACATTCCTCAAAGCTACTCTTCACCCAACCCAGGCCTGCTCACCATCTCTGTATGTTTCTGACTCATGTGAAGGCCCATGAGCAGGGCCCCTACAATCACCACGACAACAAGGACCACCACCACAACCACGATGAGAAGGCGTTTGAGATGCACAGGGCAGCAGGGGATGCGGAACTGACTCCTGGGACCTGCTGAGTAATCCTGAAGATGCGAAGAAAGTAGAGAGACAAGCAAGCAGTTGAGAGGATGTCCATTCCTCTCCCTGTACAAACCAGACTCGCTCTCACACCCCTTGAAGCTATGAATATACAGAGAAGACCTGGGGAGATCAGAAAAGGCTTTTGGGAAGGGGGTTGGATTCTTACAGACCATAGATACTTAGGAAGTTAGAGGCAAAATCTAGGTTTGGAAGGGTCCAAGAGAGCCAGTTAGCAATCGTATCTGCTGTTTTTCCAAGGCTCTTGGTACCTTGGACATAGCCAGCGTTTTAGTTCCCTCCAAGGATCCAGGTAGCGCTATCTCCATGCCTTTATGTAGACTCTCTTCCTTCAATGCCTTCCTCCTTTGCCTTGTGGGTGCCTGTATATTCTTCCTAGTCCAGTTCATGTGTCATCATTATATTGTTTACATTTACATGTATGTATATGTGAGTGTGTAAGTCAGAGACAACATCTCTGCTTCCATCTTGAGTTCCAGAGATTAAACACAAGCCATCACATTTGGTAACAAGCAGGCCTATTTAAGGATCCATCCTTCTCTTTTTAGTTTTATTTATTTTTTTGAGACCACATCTATGGCTCAGGCTGCCTTCTGTCTCTTTACATATCTAAAGATAGCATTGAATGATTATCTTGCTTACATTTCCAAATGGTGTGCACCCTGCACCTGGTTTATGTGGTCCTAGGGACTGAACCCAGGCCCTGTGCTTCAAGGCACTCTACCCACTGAACTACATCCCAGACTCACATGCCATTTTCTCTGTGATGCTTCCTATGACCTCTTAATTACTTGATGATTCTAGCAGTGTTTTTTCACAGGCCTTTTTATTGACCCCTATGGTCAATAAAAGTCTCAACTTCTTTATACAGGAATTCATGGCTACCGTGCCTGCCTCTTCCAGGGACTCTTAATGATCATGGTGTCTCCATCCTAACAGCCTAATCCTAAACTAATTGAAGAAAAAAAGCCTATGGAGGATGAAGCAGGCAAGTCCAGTATGTTTATGTACACATACACACACACACACACACACACACACACACACACAAAACCACACTCACCGGTGGACTCTCCATCAAGACCTCTTTGCTGCCCACGTCCATTTTGTAGGCTCTCTTCTCTTCTCGTCTCTCTGGTGTGGCCAGTGTCCTATATATATCATCAGAGAGAGGACAGAGGTAAAGGACCGGATCTCCTGTCTGCCAGCCAAGTCCTTGGCTTTGAAGCTTGTTTGTTCCTGGCTTTTCGGAGCCTAGGCCCCGATAAGCCAGCTGCAAGAGCCCCCAAGGGCCCTTGGCCTAGGCACATGAATCTCTTGGCCCCAACAAGAGCAAACCTGGGTGAGATGAGCAAACTCTCCCTCGGGCCACCTGCTCCTCTCACGTGGGTGTCTTTCTGGCATGTCTGCCTCTCTTGCTGGCACCTGCCCCTGCAGCCCTGTGGCTTCTCTTCGTTTGACAGGCCAAACCTTTCCCATGGTAGACAAGAATCTGGCCATCCCTTTCCACCAGATAATCTCCCCCCAGGCTCAGACATGAGTTCCATTCAGGCACTGAGAAAGTGGTGATTATTGATGGGGGTGGAGAGGTATCTACTGGAGGAACAGGGCTTAGAACAACAGCTGGGTGTCCATTAGTGTGGTTTCTCAGACAGGGTCGGATTCCTCTTTACCCAGCCTTCCACACTACTGGGTGATGGCTCCTGTTTCACTCCATGCTCTGGGCTTGTCTGTGAATTGAATGCTCTGAGGGCTTATTCCAGGCCTTACTTTTTGCCTTCCAGTGCTGAGGATCAAACTTAGGGTCATGAGCACACTTGGGAAGCCGTTTCCCTCTGGGCTACATCCCCAGACATTTTCTTAAGCCAAGGGCTGAATGTGGTACCAATCAGTCACCTCTGCCCTTCTGCCACTCTATCTACCCTTCTGACCTCCTTTTTATATCTTCTAAATTTGCCCAATGTGATTTAACCAAATCCCATTCACTTTCATGACTTTCTCCTCCTCTGTCCCTCCCTTCTCTCTTTCCCCAAATTCTCTCCTGTTGCTTGGGGTACTAAATCATATCTACCAGTGACTTAGGATTGGCTGTACCCTTTCAACATGGCCTTGGCTACAGGCCTTCAATTCCCCTTTAAAGATTTATTTATTTTTATGTGTGTGGTGTTTTGCTTGCATGTTTATCTGTGTACCACCTGCATGCCTAGTACCCTTGAAGGCCAGAAAAGGACATCAGATCCACTGGGACCGGAGTCACAGAGAGTTGTGAGCTTCCATGTGGGTGCTGGGTATCAAACCTGGATACTCTGAAAGTAGCCAATGCTTGTAACCACCGAGCCTTCTCTCTAGTCCCTCCAATTGCCTTTTAGTTGTTGGCCAGGTGGTCTTGAAGCATCTTTGCACCTCTCAACTTTTATGAATGTGTAAGCCGGAGCCCAGAACTTCTATGTGTTGACCTGAAACCCTTGTTCTTCTACACAGCTGCCCCTTAATATCTCGAGATTGTTTTCAGGGCTCCCCGTGGACATGCCAAATCCACAGACATGCAAGTCCCTTATACAAAATATACTATAGGAGTTACATACATATGCATACTCTCACGTACACTGTAAAAAATTGCCTTTGAGTAACCAACAGCTCTCTACTTTAACTTCAGACACCCTCCACAAGAGAGAATCCATGCCTGGAACTGGAAACCCAGCTAACTACTCAGTGAAGTCATGGTTATTGAAGGAGAATCTACAACCACGAAATTAATAAACCAGCACAATCCCTGACAACACTCTAAAACATTGTCCTTACACCCACAGGTAAGTGTAGACCTCCCCCCTCAGCAGGGAAACTTCTCTTTTCAACAGATGGCAACCACTACCGAAAACCACAACCAATCAGAATGCAGTCATGAAGCCTGATCCTAATGGATGCATCTACAAAAACACTTCACACACAATGCTCAAGGACATTGTAGAAGAGGAGACAGAAGGATTGTAAGGAGCAGAGAATCAGGATCAGGGAATTTGCTGTGAGACTTTGTTTCCTAGTAACATCAGATGCTACACACATAAAGTCTCACCAACATCACCACCCAAACAGGAGTTGAACAAGGATGACACCACCTATGTACCAAATTGGATGGGAAAAGCCCACAAGGCTTCAGTCCTACACAAAGAAATACAGGCAACTGAGGAAAGCTGGGGGTGGGGGGATGATCAAAGAGATGGTCTTCCCCAGAGAAGAGCATACCAATTGTTTTCCAGTGCCAAATGGTCAGTCTTGGAAACATCCATATACAGTATCAAAACTAAAAACATGAAAAAATGTTAAATCTTTCCCAAGAAATTGTTTTTGAGATCTGTGTTTTGCTTGCATGCATATCTGTGCACCAAGTGCATGCCGTGCCTGTGGAGGGCCTAAGAATAAGTTAGAGGGCTGGAGAAAATGGCTCAGAGGTTGGGAGCACTGACTGTTCTTCCAGAGGTCCTGAGTTCAGTTCCCGGCAACCACATGGGGGCTCACAACCATCTATAATGAGTTCTGGTGTCCTTTTCTGGCCTTCAGGGATACATGCAGGCCTAATGTTATATATATAGTAAATAAATAAATCTTAAAGAAAAGAATGTTAGATTGCCTGAGCATGGAATCACAGAGCATTGTAAACTGCCTGACTTGAGTGTGGGGTATTGGACTCTTCTGCAAGATCCATCTCTCCAATCTCTTGTTATTTTGAGACAGCCTTATTTTCTACCCAAGTGGGCCTGGAACTGGTGGCAATTCTCTTGGCTTAGTTTCCTGGGTGCAAGATTCCAGGCGTGTGCCACAATGCTCAGCTCCATGTACTGTCGAATTGGTGAAGGCCATACTTAAAGATGCAGACAGACAGCAGTACTCGACTTTGAAATATCATCTCTTCCTAGCCTATGTCCCAGGCTCCTTAGCACCTTGCCCTTGCATGATCATGAGCTGGCCCCTTTCTCTCCAGCCCTGGCAACTGCCCCTGCCCCCCAAGGATCCCTCCCCTCTCCTGCTGGAGGGCCTCAGTCTCAAGGTTGTACAACAGCCTGGCATTTAGGATGAGAGCTCCTGAGCACTTAGTGGAGAGGAGAAGGAAGGAAATGTTTGCTCCCACCATCCTCCTTGCCCCTCTAACTGCCCCCTTAAATATTTGCCTAAGCCTCCCATGGCTCGGCAAAGTGTCTTAGAATGAGTTGAAGAAGGGGAGGGCTGAGAGGAGGGAGAGAGGAAAGCCAGTGTCCTCTCCCCTGGGCTATGTGCAGGTGACAGATGTAAAAGACAGCTGAGCTGCACTGCCCACCTCCCTGCCCATCCCCCAGGCTCTCACTCCTACCCTGGGTTGTCCTGGAAACCTTGAGATTGATGGCTGACTCACACACACTGGGCCTGAGCCAAGTGGGCAGCAGGCCAACAGGAGAGCCAAGAACTGCAGGCATCTCGGGGTCCCTGTGGGCATCTCGAGGGGCCGCAGTGTCCAGTTTATGGTACTTATCCTGAACAGGAGCTACAGTTGGGGCTTGCGATCATCACTAAGTGTGGAGAGAAGGGCTCTGTTTTCTCTCAGGTCCTCAGTCTCCCCTGTAGGCTGCCCTTAGGCTGGGCTCTCACAGCTTTATGACTTTAAAACAATAGCATCAACTTGATTTGTCTGTTTGGGGACTGGGGGAAGATGCTGTCAGGAATTTCAGATGTTTCTCAATAGCTGGTAGGGGTCTTGGGTTCCTTGGAGAGGAAGAGATGATTGGGGCAGATTGGAGAAGGAGGGAAGCTGTCTCTTCAGCTGGACAGAGGTAGCCAGGCCAGCCCTGGGGTACACCCTCCTTTGTTCGCTTGCTTTCACTGAAGCTGATCCTCACTGTGCATACCATTCACCCTAAAAGGCCAAGAGTCAATGGCACCTGCTCTGTGACCCCTCTATCCTAGCTCCAGACTCTCAAACCCTTTCAATGGTCCCCACAATTCACCCCGTTTAGCACACACAGTGTTAACAGGGATCAGCTATATGAAAGGTGGGAGGAAGATTGTCAGCCAATCTTTTGTGAATCTGTCACAGGGGAAGGAACATGCACATGCCACACATGTGATCATATGCAACCACAAGACAGTTACTCAACACAAGGAGGCTCCTTCTCTAAGTCCTTTGGTGGCTGAGATCTGTGTTCCCCCTGGAAGCTCTGGAACCCAAAGGGAGTACTGCTTTTCTAAAGTTTACTGTGTTCATCTCTGAAATGGGACTGTTACCACCTGTCTTCTCCCCCTGACAAAGCTGTCCTGACACTCCAATGACTTCATGGATATGAAAGGCCAATCGTCATCACTATCATCTACTTCATCCACAGGGTGCCTCTCACTAGCTAAGCCTATGATCCAAACTCCTCCCCCTTATCTCTGGGTTGCCCTCTGTGAAACTGTCACTGCAGGCAGTGGAAAACCACTATCCCTTTCCTGCTCCCAGCCCCTCAGCTGCATGATCCAGGACAAGATTCACTCTGCCCTTTGTGTGCTGGGCAAAGCCGTGCCTGGGACGAGTGGGGATGGCTGTCCAGCTGCCCCAACCATCCTCCCTACCCCTCCTTGCTCCTTTCCCTCAAGCTGGCATACACAGGGCAGCCTAGGCGACTAGACCAGCAGAGGCCAGTGAGTGTCAAAAGCCAGAAGTATCCCAGTCTGCAAGAAGGGGGCCGTTAACTCAGAGCAGGGATTCCCCCTGATGGCTAAAGCTGGGACAGTTGGGAAAGATGCTTTTTTTTTCTTAGGTGGGGTTCTAGGCTGGCCTAGAACTCTTGATCATCTTACCTTAGCCTCCCTCTAGAATGTAGTTCTCAACCTAACGGTCCCCCTAGGGGGTTGAATGGCACTTTTACAGGGGTTATCAGAGATCCTGTATGTCAGATATTTGCATTGTGATTCATAACAGTAGCAAAATTACATATATGAAGTAACAACAAAAATAATTTTATGGTTTGGGGATCACTACAACATGAAGAACTGTATTAAAGGGTTGCAGCATTAGGAAAGTTAAGAACCACTGCTCTAGAGTGTTTGAATACATGCATGCACCACTATGCCTAGTTGGTTCACACACCTCTTTGTTTTGCTTTTGAGACAAGGTCCCAAGTATCCCAGGCTAGTCTCAAAG